GAGGATAGTACGTGTGTCGCCGAAAAACGCGACCGCGCCGGTCCTCCTCTCGCCCATGCGGCGCTGCTGGGGGTGATGGTCTCCATTGCCCTGTACCGCTGATCCGGCGTTGCTCGTGTCCCTCCCGCACCGCTGCCGTGCGCGCCGGAGACGGTTCCCCTGGCGATCCTGTGTGAGGCTGTGACCGCACTAGAAGTGCCGGGCCGGCCGTAGCCGGATATTTTCACACCAATTTCGGAACTTCCGTTTCTAATTTCCTCCCAACTCGACTACTCTTCCAACCACTCCACGGCGTGCAGTGAGGCGCGGTGATCCAGATAGGGTCCCCCTCCGCATGGTGTCGTCCTATGACAACGCATGAACGGCACGAGAGGAATCTTCGTCTGGTTCCTCCAATATGTCTTTGTTCACTCATGTGGTCCACTCGTCAAATAATCCTGTCGCCCCGATAATTCGGGGTGGTGGCGGGATTTTAACTGGGGCCCAGGTGATGCCGTTTGGCTCACCTCTGAGTTGACACCGGCATTTTTGGTTGGTCCCTTTCGTCGTGAACTCAACTGTCTCGCATCCTTTCTCTCGTCCAGATATCGGATGAGGGGGGTGTGTTTTGTTCACGTGTTGTTTCATCATGTGGCAAAACGGCCGAATGGCCGTTTGGCTCAAGTTTTGCCCTCCCGTCAGGGGGGTCACGGAATCTCGTTGCGCCAGCCATAGTGCGGCTGACCGCTACGCCGTCGGGAAAAGGGTCCTGGCGTCGCTGTGGTTAGGCACTGGGAGGTGGGCGGAGGTTCTCTGCGTGATCATCCTGGGCTTGGACACAAACTTCTCTTCTTCAACCTATTTCCTAATCTCCCCAAACTTGATCTTCATTAACTGTCACTCCCACAATCTGGTCACCGGCACCTTCTACATTGTGCTTTGGGACTGGGTTCTTTTGGTACTTCGTGAACCACGTGTACCTCTTTGATTCCCTGGGCTACTTCGTGTTCGCCCAAAACCGCACATTTCGAACAAACTCCATTCCCCCGACCAAATGACAGACACACACTTCTGGCGCCGGGTTTCCTGCCCAAGTCGGGTTTCTCGTCCTGAGGCTGCGGGCAAGACGCAGACCGCCGCTTGGGTTGAAAGGGACTGGGGACCCGAAGGCTGCCTTGGATTTGGTGGGACACCGGAGGGCGATTCAGGATTTGTGCGAGGTAGCCCATTTGCGGGTCGAGCACCCGTGGGTTTTGCGGCTGTGTTCGTAAGGATGGCATTTGGGCAATGCTCAAAGGCTCAAGTCGGCCCAAGCACCAGGGTAGAGATTTGTTGGTCTGGTGGTGGCCAACTTTTCCCCCCTGCCGGCGTCTCGGGAACAACCTCATCTCAGACAGTTTGCTGGCTTACAATGCTTGCGTAGTGGCTTAGTATGAACTTAGGGCTCGTTGGGCATGGAGTGCAAGCGTTTTTCTTTATTTTCGACTCTTAAACATGTGTTATTCCTTCAGGGACGCCCCAGTACCCCTTGGACATTTGTTTGGGTGGCTGTTGCTGTCCACAATTTCATTTACTTTTTTTCAGGGTGCCCTGGAACCGTTTTGGTTTGTGGGGGCACTCTGTTTTCCCCTTCCTCCAAGGGCAGCCATAGAGTGCTCCGAAGAAACCAACCGCCTTTGATACATCTCCCCTTTTCTCAGATCGGGGAAAAGCGTTTGGAGAACTAGTTGACTAGTCATTGGTTGATCATTCCCCTAGCTTTTCGGGGAACGCTTTGATTCCTGCCGTTGCAGTCGATTCAGTCGACTTTGCGCTTTCTATGGAACAGCACCTCTAAATGCACCTCTTTTCCATGAGCAAAATATCCCTTTTTGGGAAAGGCCATTATAAGTGTGCCTTTTGGTGGTGATGTCTCGGTGGGTGAAGCCATGTGTCTCAAAATTAGGGACCCCTCTTCTCCCAACAAAGGGACCCCTTTGCAAACCACTGAAGTCAACCTTCAAACCAACCTACCAACCACCAACTTCCCAACCACCAACCAACCTAGCACCAACCTACCAAACCAACCTACTACCAGCCTACCAAACCAACCAACCTGGCCCCAACCAACCCAGCACCCACCTACCAAACCAACCCACACCAACCTACAAAACCAGCCTACCAAGCCAACTAACCTAGCACCAACCAACCTAGCACCAACCAACCTAGCATCAATCTACCAAACCGACCTACCAAACCAACCTACCAAACCAACCTACCAAATCACTCTACCTACCACCCAACCTACCAAACCAACCTACCAAACCACTCTACCAAACCACTCTACCTACCACCCAACCTACCAAACTAACTACCAAACCAACCTACAAAACCACTCTACCTACCACCCAACCTACCAAACCAACCTACCAAACCACTCTACCAAACCACTCTACCTACCTCCCAACCTACCAAACCAACCTACCAAGCCAACCTACCAAACCACTCTACGAAACCACTCTACCTACCACCCAACCTACCAAACCAACCTACCAAACCACTCTACCAAACCACTCTACCTACCACCCAACCTACCAAACCAACCTACCAAACCAACCTACCAAACCAACCTACCAAACCACTGTACGAAACCACTCTACCTACCACCAACCTACCAAACCAACCTACCAAACCAACCTACCAAACCAACCTACCAAGCCAACCTACCAAACCACTCTACGAAACCACTCTACCTACCACCAACCTACCAAACCAACCTACCAAACCAACCTACCAAACCACTCTACCTACCACCCAACCTACCAAACCAACCTACCAAACCAACCTACCAAACACCAAACCAACCTACCAAACCAACCTACCAAACTACTCTACCTACCACCCAACCTACCAAACCAGGCTACCAAGCCAGCCTACCAAACCAACCTACCACCAACCACTAACCTGGCACCAACCACTAACCTGCCACAAACCTACCACCCGACGCCCCAAGCCACCGACCAAGCCACCAGCCAGCCGCTGCGCTCCGTTTGAGAAGCGTCAGGCGCAGGCGGTGGAGAATGCCAAGGCCAAGGTGTCCAAGGCTCAGCTGAAGGCTAAGGAGGCCCGGAGGAGTTGAAACTGAACCTCTTGTGTCTTTTTTTTCTGGTTTGGGAGGGGAGGGGGGGGGGGATTTTTTTGGTCGTGGTTTGTTTGTGCTTTTTGGGGGTGGGGTGGGGGGGGTCGATTGTTGGTTTTTGTTTTTTGTGGTTTTGCTTTTTCGGGTTTGGGGGGGAGGCGCAAAAAATGGCATCGCAACAAAGCACCTTAAAGCACCTACCGAGTTTCTCTTTCGCCCTTGATTTTGAAGGGGAAGGGCTCGCTAGTCAGAGCTTTGTTTTGTTTTCTTCCCGCCCATTTGACCAGACTGAACTAACCTGTCTGCTTTGGGACCACAACAGAAGTCTTGTTGCAGGAGGCCTCAGTCCGGCCGACTGTTTGGTGTGGACAAATCAGCAAATTGTCAAGCTCAATGTGTCATAGTATATTGCATATTGTATATATATACACACACATTTTGAATATTGTATATTCTATATTGTATGTGTATGGGAGTGCGGAATGGGGAAGACAGGCCGTAGACCCCTTACCTTTTCGGCATTGGACGGGTCTCAGGGTAGCGCAGGTGCGGGAAGCTAAGTGTGAGGTGTCCTTGAGTCGATTGCGCTGCCAGGCATATGGGTCAAAATTAAAATACTCGGGAGCCGCAGGTTTTAGTTGACTAAAACCTGGTTCCGTTCAGGGCTCGATGTGCATTCATGTGATTGCTTCACGGAAGCAGACCCCAGTGCAAGCATACCACGAGCCGTGTTAGACAGCATTTGCGCCGCGTGTTTGTGGCAGGGGACTGTTTATTGGCCGCATCTGACATTGGTGTGATAGGAATTTGGACCCCAGAAACTGGCGGTTGAAGTTTGGTTTTCCTTTAAGCCAACCTGAAAAGGGACGCGCACCTCAAATAGTGAGCTTCGTATGTCATTTTTGCTACTTGTCTCGTCAAACTAACATGGGACCTGACAGGGCGACTTTTCTGAAAAAGAATGGTTGTGGCGTTCTATGTTTGGAGAGAAAGTCAGTTTTTGCAAAAGGCGACCTTGGAATTTTCATGGCCTTTGCAGTTCAAGCTCAGGATAGAACTGCCGAGCAGCTTTTGCTTTGCCGTTGCTCGGGCTCGCTGTGACAAATGTTCCGTTGGGGGGGTGGGTGGGGAGGAACACGTCACACCCACGTGGAGCCGTTTGCTTCTGTGCACCAAAAAAGCCGCCAGGTTGTTCAGGACAAGCACGTCCAGGCAGGGCTTCTTGTTGTCACAAGCTGGTAGGTCTGCAGTTTCATGGGTTCTTGGCCCTGATTTTCCAGTGTTGTTGCTTTTTGTTGGCCATGTTACTTCTTTTGTGTTTTATGCGATTCATGCGCCATTTGTTTCTTGATCGACCGTTTTTGATGTGGTTGTTATCGATGGTGGAGGCAATGGTTTACAGTCAGTTGCTGACATACCTGGGGGTTTCAGCCAGTTCCATGGGTCGGATGGTCCCAGTGGTGGTGTTGCGTTTGGTATTTTTCCTTTTGGCCCAAGGTGATATCTTCAGGTTCATATGGGGTCAGCTCTTTAACCCAGAGACACCTTTTGGGGGGGTTGACAACCATGGGATTCTTAGGCCCGGGGTTTTCCACCTGAAAACCTCACCTTGGGCCAAAAGGCGCGGTCGTGGCTCAAAATCCAAATCGTACTCCCGGTGAACATCAACCAATCCCCACTTAAAAAAAAGAAGCCGAAAAGGGGTGGTGAATTCACCAATCCCAACCAAAATGGGATCAACCCGAAAAAAAGGGTTCGAACCTGCGTGGTGAATTCACCAATCCCAACATGGTACCAAAACGGTTTTGACCCACAGCCCCCTGGAGATCCACCTGAACTTGGCACGGATCCACCAAAACCCCACCAAAATGGGATCAAACACTTCGTAGACGAAAATCCCAACATGGGCTCCGCCGAAACGGTTTGGACCACCGCCAAGGCCACCGCTGCGGGGGCTGTGGGGGGAGCCGCCACACTGGGTGCCACCGGGGGTGCCACCGGCCTCGCGGCGCCCCGGGCACCGGTTGGGTGGGCTGAGACACACCCACTTTGGCGGCGGCGAATTCGAAAAGCCGGAGTTTTCCAAAATGGGTTGCCCTGGTTTTCGGGGAAGCATGGGCCAACACCTGCGGTTTGCCCTGCCTGGTTAATTCTGAGACACACCCAATTTGGTCCTGGTATGGCTGTGGATCAAGACCGTTTTGGTACTATTCTGGAGTGGGTGAATTCACCACCCATTTTAGAACCTATTTTAGTGGGGATTGGGATGTTCACTGGGGAGACGATTTGGATTTTGACCCATGGCCATATTGACCACCCTTGCAGTTGAGTCAGGATGAAAAACAGGAGTGGCTGTTCTTGGTGTTGGAGTACCTCTTTTTTGGCCAACGGTCGAGCTTTTTTTTGCTGGTTCTCAGAGGCTGCTTTGATAGGCAGGGAATGAGAAATGGCATGACCTTCGAGAAAATCCATGCTCGAGATGGTTTCCTAGGGAATCCCAAAATGGTTCATTCCCAACACCCGGAAGGTCGTTTCGTACTGAGCACCAGCAAAGTTAATAGAGGCATGTGCCCACAGTGAGGGGCCGCCTTTTGGTGGTCTTTCCCCGAAAATCGAAGCTTTGGGGTGGCGGGGGTCTTGTGGTTGGTTCGCATGAAAAGACGTCATGGAAACCACGAAACACCAACACACCCAATGCCAACGTATGGGGCGCCATTTTGGGGATTCCCTTCTAATCTTCAGGGGAGCCTTCTGTTCCCCACTTTGAACTTTTGGGAAGACCGTTGAGCAAATCTGATGACGCTCGGTGTTTGAGTGTGGGAAGTCCCGTTTCCCTGCCATTTCGGGTGTCTTGCCACGGGGGGTTTGGTCGGTCAATTTTTAGCGCTGGTGCCCGACCTTCACTCGGCCGAGCCGAGAAGGCTCGCCCTTTTTGGGTGCGGGATTTTAAGAGAAGCCCTGCCCGAAAAAAGGAAAAGCATGGGCAGCATTGGAGGTCTGGGGGACCTCCTGTAATGCAGCCCATCTTGAGATTGTGTTCATTTGTGCAGAATGTCGTGGTTGTATAGCCTTTACGAGAAGACAGGTTTGCAGGAGGAATCTTGCTTCGAAAGGGCTTTTCGGGCTTGATCCAGCAAGCAGAAACTAGGTGTGCGGCTTCCTCTTGTTTTCGCACGCGTTGAGTGCCATCGAAATGCATCCAAAAGGGGGTTCTTTCCACTGAGCACTATTGGGTTGTTTGGTCCAATTGGATTAAACCCTGCCAACTATGTCGCGACTAAAAGTGAAGCAAATCATACTAGTTTAATCTTTCACAGAGCCGAACTGCAACTATGCATCGTTTTGGCCTGTAAGTTTTAAGTGATCGGATTTTTGAAGTGTTAAGTGGCACCTCAAGCACATGGATGAAAAGCCGAGTTGGTGGAGCAGGTTGGACCAAATTGCCCCTCCCCCCCCCTTGCCAAACAAGGCTCAGAAAGGGTTTGAAACAAAACGACGCAGCCTTCACATCCTGATTGTCTCAAAATGGGATGTAGAACCTCCAAAATGGCAACGGCTTTTTGTGTTTTGCCTTCAACACAGCCCCAACATGGGTAGCCTGAAAAGACAATCACACCCGGCGTATGTATGTATTTTTTAGGGCGCACATCGTTGCCTTCTTTCAATTTTGAGTGTTTCTTGCTACAACTTGTGTTCCTCTCCTTTCTCTGTGCGTTGGCAGGGATGACTTCCAGGGATTCCCTCAAGAATTCAAGGGACACCCGCTGGTGGATGGCTGAAAAGGATGGGCGCGGAATCACGCTTAGAACAATTGGCACCAGGCAACATGTTCCGTTTCTGAATGTGACGGCATACAACATGTTTCTTTGTCTCTCTAAATCTCTTACTCTCCCTCCCCCTTCTCCCCCTCCCCTCCCCTCCCCTCCCCTCCCCTCCCCTCCCCTCCCCTTTTCTTCCCTCCCCTTCCCTTCCCTCCCCTTCCCTTCCCTCCCCTTCCCTCCCCTCCCCTCCCTCCCCTCCCTCCCAGACCTCCGGTGGTTCCCTTTTGTCCTTCGTTTTGGAAGGGGTTCCCTTTATACTCACCTACCAGCCAAAAGGGTGGCCTTTGCCTCATTGAACTCCGGTGGTCTGTGCTTCGTCTTTTGCTGCATCTTTGGGACCCGCACACCCAACCTCTTCTTCGTCAGAGAACCATCAAGCACCTAAAGGAAACCGCTGCTTGGGGTGGGGGCTACAGAGCTCATGGTTTACTCCTATGTTGACTCAACTTGGTTTGAACGTAGCCAGACCATTCCAATTCCTTGGTCCCTTGGTGTCTATATCAAAATTACTTGCTGGTTCTCAGCATGAAAAGATGACTCCTATACACCATTCCCTATTTCCTGAAAGGGATTCCCCTTCCGGTTCACCGACTCGGTCATTCCCTACCCAGCGCATCAGGGTGCCCCTCCAAATCGGTTTTGCTTGCGGTTTCCCTTAACACCCTTCAAAAGGAGGTCCGCCCATTTGGGGGTTGATCAATATTCCGTTTGGCCACTTTTACCATGCGGTTGATGTATCATCTTCGTGGTTTCCCCCAATGGTCATCCCATGTTTACCGGACCTTTTGATCAGCCCCCATGTTTCAGCAATGGGCATCTAAATCTGGGACAGGTTGGCCCAATCTGAAGGCCCTCCAAACACTAGTCCCGTCCATTTGGGTGTGGCTCAAAAAGTGAAGAGCTGGGGCAAACCGCCCGATTTCGGCTTTGGTTCCAGTCAAGGTGCCATTCTGGCACCATGCTTTTTATGAGCCACCGCCATTCAGAGAGATCTGCAGGCCCTCCAAAATTCGGGGAATCCGTCCATTCGGGTGTGGCTCAAAAAGCAAGGAGCTGCGCAAGATTTCGTCTTTCCATTCACCAAGGTGCCAAGACATCTTACAGCTTTTTGAGCCGCCATGAGAGCGAGCGAGCAAAAACGGCGCCCGGCATTTGCATTTCTCTCGGGACCAATGAGGCCGGCGGCGTGGCCGGGGCCGCCCTGGGGGTGATCCCTGCACTCTTCACCTTCGGGCTGTCCATCCCCGTGGGCGCCGCCATTGGCGGCACCGCAGGCGGAGCTTCCGGAGAGACCTCGGGCGGTTTCGGTTCGGCGGGGGTTCAGGATCTCGTTTCGGCGCTCGAAACGATTCCCTGAGCAGGTGGGAAATTTGGGCCAGTGAGCAGATCATCTTTACCAGGATGTAGAGGATTCCCTGGTAAAGAAATTGGTTTTTGATGTATCCTTTCAGGGCATCATGAAGGACACTCGTTTCGCTGAGGAGTTGTCAAGCCTGGGAAGGGAGCGCTTTGGCTCACTTCCACCGTTGGACTTAACGTGTGGGGAAGATCATTTTGCTTGTAAGCTTCGGACCAACCCACTCAACCACAAAGACGCAGAGACTGGGAAGGCGTAGGGGATGGGGGACTTACCAGCCAGAACATGAATCCGCAACCACCCGCTGTTTTCCCTGGACCCCGCTTCTTGGTATGTCAGCGTTGCTCCTTTGGCCAAGGATGGGGCACATTTGGTTCACGTCTGGTGGTTTCCCTTTTCGGAGAGCAATCCTCTGCCCTTCCGGCGATTGTGGAGCAACACTGTATGTGGATTAGCTTCTTGTTTTGCTTTGGAGGTGCTGCTCCTTTCTGTTTGTGTTGTTGTTTGCTTCTGGCGAATGTGGGTTGGCATTGTCAGTTGTTTGGGTAGAAGATGTTGGGTGCTGTCAAGAGAAAGCACAGGGCACATGTTCTTGTGCTTTGGTCCTGCTCGATGTTGCTTGCTTTGGCAAGGCTATTGTTGGAAGCCAGAAATGAAGCCACCTTTCATCTGGATAACCTATTTGAAGAATCGCCTGCTCTCCGTTCTTGGTATGTGCTTTTTTGTGTTTGCTGTTTATACGAGGAACCCGCAACATTCCCACGGAAACCAGGAGACTCACAGCATATCTGATGTTCATTACGTGGGCCGCATATGTTGCCCGTGGCTCATATGGATGCATGCATACAGCATGCATGCATACAAGCATGCATCCATGAATACATTACCTTGCACTACGTTACGCTGCATTAGATTACACTACACTACATGGCATGAGATTACATGACATTGCACACCATAGCATGACATCAACATTGCATGGCAATGCATTACATTAGGATACGTTGCGTTGCATTACGTGACATTACAGCTACATTGCATTGCGTTTAATTTGCATTGCATTGCATTGCAATGCATTGCACCGCATTACATTACATTGCGTTTCGTTACACTAGATTACATTATACTGCAATACATTGCAATACATTGCAATACATTGCAATACATTGCAATACATTGCAATAGATTGCAATACATTACAATACTTTGCATTCCATTGCATTATATTCTATTACATTGCATTACATTGCATTACACTGCATTACATTCCATTACATTGCATTACATTGCATTACATGGAATGGAAAGTGCGTTACATTGCGTTACATTGTGTTACATTGCGTTACATCGCGTTACATTGCGTTACATTGCATTACATTCTACTCTACACACATTGCACACATGAGATGCATTGCACACATTACATGCATCGCATACATTGCATACATTGCATACTTTACATACATTACATGCATACATACGTACATGATTTACATTACAACCTTGACTGACAACACACACACAGACACAAACATTACATACATGACATACAACATACATGACGCACACTAGATGCATTCATTACTTTCATTACATGCATTAAATTCAGCACATATACGAAATACAGTACATACATCACATGGGCATGGGTCAAAATTAAACCACCAGGGAACCGCAGGTTTTAGTCCCTGGTTCCATTTACCAGGGTTTCATTTCGGTACCTATTTTTGACCCACAGCCACATGTAGTGTACATCACACGCATCACATGCATAACATGTATTTCACATTGCATTCCTGGCTTGCATGACATACATGGCATTCATGACATACATCACATATGACGTACACCACACACAAACACACATCATGCACATATCATGCACATCACATACATTGCACATGCACTACATACACTACGTAAACATACACACACACACATACATACATACATACATACATACATACATACATACATACATACATACATACATACATACATACATACATACATACATACATACATACATACATACATACATACATACATACATACATACATACATACACACAGACAGACAGACACACACACACACACATACATACATGCATGCATGCATACATACATGCATGCATGCATGCATACATACATACATACATTCATGCATGCATGCATGCATGCATGCATACAGTGAGAGGCAGGCAGTCAGACATTCAGTAAGGCATGACAGACATACAGGCATACAGACATACCAGCGCACAGACATGCAGACATACAGACATACGGACATACAATCTGCGACATGCAGACTTGCAGACATACAGGTATACAGGCTGCAGACATACAGACTTACCGACGTATAGACATACTGACATCCATCCATTCATCAATCCATCCATCCATCCATCCATCCATCCATCCATCCATCCATCCATCCGTTCGTTCGTGCGTGCGAGCGTGCGTGCGTGCGTGCGTGCGTGCGTGCGTGCGTGCGTGCGTGCACAGCTAAGCACACAGAAACAACACATGGGTATAAACATATATACATACACATGTGCAGTATGCTTCTCTATGTGCACAAGAAAAAGCCGGTGTTTCCCATTTTGATCACTTGGGTGCACGGCCCGGGGGTTGGGGGACCTCCTTTTCGCCGCCTCGCCGGCGCTAGGCCTTGCGGTGGGCGCCTCTGTTGGCGCGGCCGCGGGCGCGGCGTCCGGGGGCGCGGCGGGGTTCCAGGCCTACGCCAAGCGCGAGCAGTGCCCCGGAGGATTTGAAGCTATGTGGCTGTGGTGGTCAAAACCATTTTGGTTGATCCCATGGGATTGGTGAATTCAGCACCCATTTTAGGCTTCCCATTTTAGTGGGGATTGGGATGTTCACTGGAGGTACGGGCTTTTGACCCATGGCCATGTGGCTGGTCAAAAATAGGCTAACCCCAACATGGTTTGCCCTGGTAAGTGCAATGGACTAACATCTGCGGTCCATATCCTGGTGATTTGATATTGACCCACACCCGTGTTCCTGCCTTGTTTTGGAAGGGATTGTTTCCTCCAGTTTTTGACGGTAGTGTTCTGTGCGATATGGTATTTCCTGCTTTGTTTTTGAAGGGAGTTCCCTGTTTCACAGAAGTTTCCTCCACTTTTTGACGGTTTTCTCAGGAGTTCCCTTGTTGAGTTTCTCCACTTGTTGGGAGTTTCCTCCAGGCCTGACCCCTTTTTGGTTTGGAGTTTCCTCCAGGCCTGACGGTTTCGGGTAGAGGGAACGCTGCGAAACCCATACGGGGCATTAGTTATAAGGCATTAGTTAGAGGGCTAGTTAAATAGAGGTTTCATGGCTAGTGAAAGGGCTTCCCACAGATGTTTGGGCACTTCACCCCTTGGATCTGGGAAATTACAGCAGGGCTTCATGACTTGGGATTCCTTTGTTCAGGTGATGCTCCCGGATACGATGGACCTAAGACCACGCCGCTGTTCCCAACGCCGAAACAACATGTATTTGAGACAAGCGAATTGGTTTGTTAAAACCACACCTTTCGCGGCGCCGAAGCTGATTTGAGAGAAGCGAATTGGTTTGTTACAACCACACCTTTCGCGGATCGGATTTTTTCGCTCGCGCCGAGGATCGGTGAGTTCCGCCAGAGCACCTTGAACAAGGCGCGAACCGCCCAGGAGATTCGATGCGAAGGAGGTGGCGAGGGGATGCCTTGCTGCCTCGGCTCGAAACATCTTGAGCTTCTGTCTTTAGTGATTTTTTTGGTTCGCCCAGTCGGCTTACTTGGAGTATGATCATTTTTTGCAAAGATCATTGCTTATTTTCTCTAGTGTCGCCCAACAAATCCCAGTGGGGCACTTTGAGAAAGGGTGAGGTTGAGCAGCGTCAATGGAAGCCGCGCCCGGCCATTTGTGCCAACCGAGCCACCCTTCACTCAAAGGGATGGACATGAACCCCTTAAAAGAGAATTGAGCCACCGTGTCAAGGAGTTTTCAAAAGGGAAGCCCGACCACGACCCACTTTTTCGTCCAGTTTTGACAACGGCCCATTTTCAGGAGAGACATCAGGGCCCACCCTGGCCCCCAAGAAAGCTTTGATGCGAACCCATCAAAAGCTCGCCACTTTCAGTCCCACCGCCAGTTTTGGGCCCAAAAACCTGACTTGGGGTTGGAAAGCCAAAAGGATACCAAAGGCCAGGAGGTTTTGCTCTTTGAACTCTTAGGCTAAGATCTCCGAAGGGGTCGTGTTTTCCCTTGCTTTACCTTCAACACCCATTCCCAACAAGGGCTTTTGAGCGACACTCAACCAGCACGCTAGGGTTGCTTTTCCCATCTCCTCGCGTGGGATTTTGCATTTCGAACAGATGCATACCTGCTGCTAACCAGCCCTTGGCCCCATTTTTTTCTCGAAACCCCCGTGGGACCACATGTTTGTTTTCTTCTTCCTCTTTTTTATTCTTCTTCTTTTTTTCTTTCTCTTTTTTTTGTTTTGTTTTTTCATTTTTTCTTCCGCAGGTAAGGTAGGTCCTAGCGGTGGGGTTCCCCCCCTCCCGACGCGTCCAGGTGAACACCGGCGTGGATGCGGTCAAGGGCAAGGCCGTGGCCTCCGCGTGCCTTGCCGTTGAAGGTCCACGGGGCTCGCTCAAAACGGGGGGGGGGGGGCGTTTTTCTCGCATGGCCACGGGTCCGGGGATTTCTATGTTGGTTGCTTGAAGATGGAACCACTGGGTTTGTCTCAAAATGAGATATGGGACCCCAAAATCGGTGGTCATCCTTTTGGTTTCCTCTTTGAACAACCCTCAAAGGGGCACAATCGGAAAAAGAGACCCGCACGCCCTGTTTGAGGGAACGGTTCCACTCGTTTAACCTGGCGGTTCAATCAACTGATCGCTGTTGCAATCTCTTCAAGTCAGTTTTGTTTGACCTCATAGCATCCGTCGAGAATTCCCCTTGCCCCTGCATTAAAGCAGTAGGCCACTTGCACTGTAGTAAGTTTTGTTTCATGGGGCACCCTGAGGGATTGTGGGCAGAGTTCACACCGCAAGCCATGCATCCGAGAATTCTATACCTCAAGCAGCCCTTCCATGACTGGGCCCAGCGGGCGACCGACCATTCAACCTTTGTTACGCCCAACGTCAGCGCTGTTTAGGAGGTATGTGGCTATGGTTGATGTACCCAGAAAATAAGTCTTTAAGGGGATACCTAGCTTTTATATAAACGGTGAACTGCTATGATGTTGAATTGGGGAACACTGTCCCACGAATTTCTGACTTCCGCCAAGGGTCCATGTCACGTGGAAGCTCGTACCCATCTGCGCAACATATTCCCAGGGCATAGGTTTTGGGTGGGCACAACAAGCCATGTGTTTTGTATTATTTTTCTGCAGGATGGTGCGTGTCGGTTTTTGGTAGGTCGCCAGTTATTGTCGGTTACTCATGGGTATGGACTTTGATAGAACATGAATTCTTTGCTGGACATCAGAGGATGCCGACTCATGTTGACCCCGGACAAAGAAGGTGTTCCCTGCAAAAGTGATGAATCCCCACTCAAATTTCTGAGCACCCCCTGTTCAAAATCAACGGGTTATTATTAATCCGTGTCCGACATGAAGAATACTTCTGATGCTCAGGAAATGAGAAATGGACAATGACCCTGCTAAACCATCCAACTGGTGTCCTTTGAAGGGGACCCGAACCAAAGTCTGGGCTCATTCAACCACATTCCCTATCAGCAAGAATCTTTGGCCGTTCAAGTTGTGTCCCCTCCGAGACCCTTATAAACCATCCAACTGGTGGTTTCCTTTAAGGGGACCAAAGCCTGGCTTCACTAAGGCAGTTCCTCAAGGACAAGGCCTCCGCGGCGCGTGTGCGGCTCTCCGGAAAGGCGGCCAAGGCAGCATAAGGCGAGCGGAAGTTCTGGGAGTGTTGATGATTCACTCAACTGGGTGTGGCTCAGAATTAAACAGGAGGGGTTACGCAGGTGTTGGTCCATGTGTCCACTTCCCAGGGTTCCATTTTGGTACCGGTTTTTTGAGCCACAGCCAACTGAGACGTGGTGATGCCTTGATTTCTCGACTGGATCGCTGTGCAGTTGAACACTTTAAATGGGCCAGTGGTGTTTGGATCCGGCACCAAGGATGCCAGCGGAGCTTCCTTGGTGTTTGCTTCTATTTGGTCGCCTGAGGTGTGTGGTCACGGTTTTTGGAAAGTCCATGGTGGATTTGACTCACTAAGACTCACTAAGCTTCCGCCGAGGCGCGGGATCTCTTGAGTCTTCCTACTCCAAGCACTCCATATCCCGTCCAATGACGACTGCCGCACACTCCAATTAAAAACGCCGGCGCTGGACAAAAAACGCTCTTTTTTGAATCCCCCGAAAGCAGTTGGAAGCCTTTAGGGACAAGGTGACTCAGGCAGGGCGTTCACCAGGCATCTCCACAACCATGCACCTCTCGTTTGGGTGATCCAACGTCAGGCAAGAGGCAGGATGAGGTCTTGACGGTCTTCGCGTGGCATGAGGCCACGGGCGTTTTCCTCAGTTTGCTGCAGGGAAGGGGCGGGCCCTTATTGTGCCGGCAAGATGTGGCTCCTTGGGGGGCCACATGTGTGTTCGGGCCGGTTGTGTTGGGGCTACAGGGCTCCCAAGTTGTTTCAAGGTGTTTGGGTCCCAGGCCTTCCCTGGCGCAATTTCCAGAACCCATATTTTCCATGGCACGCTCGTCGCCTTGGACTCCTCGGGGTAGGCTAGGGCCGCCTTGTTGGAGACTGGCGGCTCCAATTCGTAGCGAAGCTGGGCTCTGGGCAATCTGCAGGCCAGCCCAGCGAAAGTTTTCGTCCAGCTTGTCGTCCGTGAACCCGAGCACCGTCCGACGTTGGAATCGCCAGGATTGCGCGAGGTACCGGCCGGAGGCTTTGGCTTGAGGCCAAAGCTAGAAGCGACCAGTTGGGATGTTCTTTTAAACCCTTGTTCCCACGGAGCAACCAAAGCAGGGCCCGTCCAAATTAGGAAATGCCCCTTTCTTGCTTGAAACCGACAGGAAGCCGCGGAGACAAAGCCAGTTGTGTAGTGGTTCCGGGCTTTTGGTATTGTCTTTTGGCGGGTTGCTCTTTGAACCAACAAGGGAACAGGTGTTCTTTTCTGAGGGGTCTCTGTTACCCCAAGCAACCAAAAAGGGATGCCTGGGCAAACAATCAACCAACAATGGGGACCCTGTCAACCCCAAATTCCCCACTCTTGCGGGCGGGTGGATCCCTACACAAGACGTCACGCACAAAGTTGTTTGAAGACCAACGCCTCCGTGCCGGCATGGTTGGGCGGTAGGGCTATGCTGGTTTCGATTTAGCGGAGCACACAGTCGCTCTTTTGCACAGACACATAGCTCTCAGCTGCGAACGCTTGCGAGTGAGCGACCGTGAGCGGCGAGAGACAAAGATTTGCTCTGGCAGAGGATAGGGAGGGTATAGATGGCGCAGAGGGGCGGTCAAGTGTCGGAATCTGGCGACACTTCTTCAAATGGTTGGCATCATGGTTTCTTTCAAGACCGTCCCAGAAAGCCCCTTTTGCGTTTCGTTTTGAATTGCCCAGACCAGACTCTTAGTTCTCGCTCCCAATTGCAAATAGCAAGCTGGTTCTGTTGTTTAGTGGGGCCAACAGTGAATTGTTTGCTGCCCAACAGTGAATTGTTTGCTGCCCAACAGTGAATTGTTTGCTGCAACATGGGTGGCTCGTCTTTAAGGTTGGACCCCCGGAACGGCGAAACGGTTGTGCTTTTGGGTTCCCCTCAGAGACCAACTCCAAAAACGAGAGAGACCCACATATGGCTGTGGGTCCAAAATAGGTACTCCAAGTGGAATCATAGTACGTGGAAACATGGACCAAAACCTGCGGTCCCCCTGGTGGTTTAATTTTGACCCATACCCATTTCGAGACACAGCGGAATTCGGAACCTGCCAGCCGTGCCGTTTGAAGGTCATCCTTATCAGGAGAGCAGACCCATAGGAGAGGCTGCGTTCAGTCAGTGCGACGCCTCGAGGTCCACACGCCGGGGCTGGTGGTGCCGCGCATGTCCATGTGCAAGGCGGGGCCCGGTCTCGGTGAGAAAAAAGTCGAACACAGAAAGGCCGAAACATTTTTTCAGGCTTGGGCTGAACAGTGATGGGATTCATTTTCTGGCCTTTTCAGGACTCGCGATACAAACCGATCACAGATTTGAGCGGAAAGACACCCTGTCCAGTGCGCCGTTTTGTGTCCCTCGAGCATAGAAAGGTGCTTTTTCGAGTCATCCAGACTCGCTTGTCAGTTGCCACAAATCAGCAACCAGCAGCCCGACTCAATGCAACGTGATTGTGACTCACAAGACAAAACATGCTTTTGGCAGGGTACCTTGGGACGCGCCCAGTTTGGTCGGACTTAGCAGGAAGCCAAAAAGTAAGCCAAAGGGACAGCCCGCGAAAGGGTCATAGCTTAATTGGAACTCGTGAACATGCGCGATGTCAAGTTTGGGTATGCTGTTTGGAGACAAACCACACGGAGCCTGAAAAAACATGGGGTCGGTTGTAGACATCTTGAGAAGCATCGAGTTGCATCGATCTGCGCAACCGAACATGGTTCTTGATACTTCTCCAAAAATGGCATTCATCCGAACAAAGGAACTCGCTTTTAAAGGACGTTCATTTGCGTGTGGAGCAAAAATCGGTACCCTGGTAAATGGAAACATGGACTAGAACCAGAGGTCGATATCCTGGTGGTTTAATTTTGACCCATCCCCATTTCGAGACACAGCGGAGTTCGGAACCTGCCAGCCGTGCCGTTTGAAGGTCATTCTTTGAAATGGGCGGTGGAAACCCGATTTGGGGGGATAGACATCATATGTTCAGACGCACAATTGGAAGATTCTGGAGAATCCCACCATTTAAGAAGTGTCGGGCTCGGTCCAACCGACTGAGTACGAGAACATGATTGTCTGAGTTGAACGCTGGTTCTATGCAGGGGACCAAACAGGTTCCAGCAACTCCGATCGCTTGTTGCACAGGAGACTGCGGCAGTGCATTTTTTCCGCGCTTCTTTTTGGCCTATGTAAATTGTGTGTTTTTCTGTTGTTTGGAGGCATGTGTGCCAATGTGTGTCGTCTCTGCTTATCCTAATGCATTTCCGTGTTTTCAAGAAGCAAACAACGTCTTGAGAAAACCAACCATCAAAAGAACCAAGCGAACCATTCGCAGATTTGCGGACAGTCTTTCCATTGGATCAACCCATCCCAAAACCAAGAAACAACGAGAAAGCCAACAAAACAACTTCATCAAAACACAAACAATCAATCGGCAGACACTCTTTCTAGAAGTAGCCTGTCACCATGCCAAGAGTTCTAGGAGAATGTTCTTTTGTTTGGACGGGGGGTTTCTCAAGTTTTCTTTTGTTTTGTTGTTTGTCAGGTCTGATCCAGTGGATGTGTTTTTATGGAAAGAACTCCCTACCTATGAGCTAGTTTAAAATGACATCTCGAGTTGAACTCTGCTTGAATAAATTGTTTAGAATACTAGTGATGTGTAAACAAATTCGACTGGAACGGACATCCTGTGTGAAGCCCAATTTGGCATGGACCAATTCTTATTTAAAGTCTCTCTTAAACTCGAAATTCTGATTGGATTCTTTCCTTATCAAATTCTGTTTGAACTCGAATTGAATTGTAAAGTTCTATTCGGCAAGGAACTCAACGTAAATTCCAAATTTGAGATAGAATGTCCAATAGGTTTCGGAATAAGTATTTCCCTATGGAGTCCTATTTAATTTTCAGTCAAAAACTAATTGACTCTTAGGGAGAGGCCTTTGGTGAAGATGTGAATTTAGTGCACAAACCGCTACAAAGCACTTTTTTCTTTTTCTGTTTTTTCCCGGTGTTTGTTGACCAGGGTAGTGATGGGGGCTAGGTAGAAAGAAAAAACACACGCTCTTGGGACCTCTGAATTCTTTCCTAATGAAATTCTACTTAATGAATTCCCCAACAGCTGGAAGCTTTGGGGTCTCAGCCCAGATAGGCTCCGGGGTGGTCCGGGGCGGCCCTGCGAGGTAGGGTTCCACCAGCGTTCCACGAGGGTTCCACGATGTTCTGCGAGGGCTGCGGTGTGAGCATTAAAAAGAGCGCATGCTGTTGGGGATATCAACTGAGCTTATTTCTATTCAACTTTGGACGGAGATATCACTTAATACGGACACATTGATTTTAAACATAGCAAATCCAATCAGGATTTCTATTTACATCAGAATTCAATTAATACGTATTCTTTGTCAAATTAATCATTCCACAGGAACTCATGTCCAATATACTCTTCTTTACAACTCAGCCAACATTTAAACACCCGTTATTCAGCAAGAGCTCCACAAAAAGCAAAGCGAGTGCACGCAGCGCAGCAAATACAGACTTGCATGCACAAGCTGCTCAACCTGTAGCAAGATGTGCACTGCCACAGTCCCCTGCCCTCCCTTTTTGGATGGGTTCCCCTGCCCAATCAAGCAACAACTTGCTGGTGCAAAAATGGTAGGGAGTGACCGTTTCGGGTGTGGGGAATGAATCGGAAGGAGATTCCCGAGTACCGGAAACCAAAGGACACGGAGGGTTTTAGTTTATCCGCGTTCCCTGCGAATCGAAGCAACCTAGGGATTCCCGAACAAGGGACACCAACTCGGTTGGATGGTTTTTCCGGGCTCATTTCCCATACCCCGCCCTCCCCCCAACCAAACACGCAACAACAAGAGCGGTTTCCTTAAAGGCAACCATAGGTTTTCTGGGGTTTTCTGGGGGTGATTTTCCCTGCCAGAGGACCAGCAACAAGAGGGGGAGGGGGGGCAGCGCCTCATTCTGCGAGCGCCGCATTGTGCCCACCGAAAAAGAGCCGGCTCTTTGAGCCCGCGAGGAGCTGGTGGAGCTGCTGTCGGACTGGTCCCAGCGCCTGATCCGCCTGCCCCAGGCGGCCGACATCGAGGCATGGATGGTGGGGATGTCTCAGGTGCTAAATGACCCAAATCAGTTCTCCCAAAAGGAAAGGAAAGGGGATGGGGAATGGCGATTCTCTTCCAGATTCCTTATTTAACAGTTTGGGGAAGGCCGATCCATCGTGAGAAGGGATTGAGGGGAAGAGGCTGACAAGGGGTATGGGTATGCTAAGTGATTGTTACTCACTATTGAGCAATGCTATTCAGGTGGGAGGCCGTATCTTATTTGCTGAGGTTGGGAACAACCTGGCGCTGTGCTTACTATTACTATGTTTCTTTGTTTTCTTCTTCTTTTTTCTGGAGCTAAAGGACACCCTGTTTCATCCAAAGGCAACTCCAGCCCAGCAAAGTTGCGGAGCTCGGCTTGGACCACTCCAACTAAGTATTAAGACTCCCTGCCAAGTTCAAGCTCCCCAAAAGCGGCATGGTAGCATGAGGGGTGGTTCTTTCTGCGAATAAAGATGCAGTCTTGAGCGACCGCGCCGAGGCCACAGGGCCTTTGGTGGTTTGTTTGGAGGTCCCAGACATGGTTGGGCGAATCATCCTTCACCTAGATTGACCTTGCTACAATCAGGCTGAAGGGTTGTGTTAAAGAGAAGCTAGGCTGCCTTCTTTTACTGGAGTGGATCAGGCGGGACTTGAAGCTCTCGCTTGGAAAAGAGGTGGCAGAAGGCGGAACGAAGGATCTCGATTCAGGAAAAAGAAGAAGCATCTCAAGGTCAACGTCAGTCAATGTCTATGTGCTCTTCCTGGGATATTTTTCCATGCCTCTGGGGTCACCAGGCGCTGTTTGTCCGGGGTAAGTGGAATTTGATTGGCGGAAGCGACTCCGGCCACCATGTTTCGGAAACCACAGACACCAGCCTGCTTGAGGGTGCCAACTTCCTGCCTTTGGGCACGCCGCACAATTCCGATCGGGGGTTGCTGGGGGTCGGGTGGGGGCAAACAGATGCCCTTAGTATGCCCCTTGCATACCCAACAACAAAGGGACAGAAGGGGGAATAAAAGGTTGGAGAAAGCAATGCGTTCGGGGGGACGAGCGGGGGGGGGGGGGTCGGGTGAAGGGGGGTAGGACCCGAGATTTTGATGGCCGCGCTGCCAGGAGGGGTATAGTCATGGGTAGGTAAGGACCCGAGAGAAATTCGTGCGAGGTCCCCGCCTTCAAGTCCGATGTGGAGGCGGGTTCATGACCGATGTCACCAAGCTCAGAAGTTCAGGTGACCCTTCGTTGGTGGTTTGAATTGGTGGTTTGGGCATTTGAACCCCTGGTTCTTGTAGAGGGTAGATGGGAGACCCTAGATGGGAGACCCCCCCCAATCCAAACCGCCAATGAGAGGGAAGATGAGACGTGGCTGGCAACCTAGTTCTTGGAAGAAGATTGCAATGAGCCAGTCATTCTGGCAAAGCGGGGACAAGAATAGTTGTGTCCAAACAGGCGGCAGGAGTGCGTTGTGAAAGGTTTGTACATGCCATTGTCCATTGGGGGATTGTTTTGGGAGCGGCAGCTCGCTTGGAGGTCGTCATGCTGGTTCCCCCGAAAGATGTTTCTGGTTTGCCACAGCCCGTTGCGACCCTGTTTCGTTTTTGCAAAGTGATCGCTGTCCGCGCTGGCCGGCCACCTGTCTCGTTCAGACGGGCGTCGGCATCCGCTTCGAGGCATAGCAAGCACCTTCCAAAGTCTTCGGCAAAAAACGGAGGACCGTGTCAGAGTCTTCAGAGCTGACACGCACACCAGAGCGACACCATTGAAGATCAATTTCAACGCTCCCGGGTTGGGAAATGGTTCCAATCCAAGCAACGGCCTTTTCCTCCGACCCGAGGTTCGGTCAGAGCAGGCTAGGGGTCCAACCAGATGCTAGATGTTTCTTTGGTGGCTTGAGCACCGCCTTTGTTCCTTTTGGCGTGGGGTCTGCAGATTTGAGCCGTCGCTCTGGCGCAGATAGCGCGCATCGCCGCATCTGACAAACTGTCTGATCGTCCATCCCTCGCAGAAGGCAAAACAAACAATCGGCATCGCCCTCCTCTTGCAGTCCTAGCGCAGTCGCTTTAAGCACAGGATGCTGGACTGCCCAGTCCTGAGTACTCTTCAGGAACTGCTTCTTCACGCACGGACTTGGCCGAAAAGTGACTCGCAGACATTGCGCTGGCCGCAAGAAATCTGCGCGGGCTCCAACAAGAGGAGATTCAGACAAAACCTGGCTCCAGCGCTGGTAAATGCAAGACGCCTTGTCCATTGCAAGCCGTTGGCACTGGTCACGACAACGGTCAATTTGGGAGGGGCATGACCTGGAGCTTGCACTTTTTAAGCCCGCATTACTGCAATATTGAAGCCCGCTGAAAGGCCCCTGAATTTGAGTCAAGCCCCTTGCCGGTGTCCGACGTTGTAGCGGCAACTCCAGCTCGCGTACCGTGCAACTTGGTTGCCGCGGCTGGAACAATCTGGGCTTCAAGACGCATTCGACGGGTCATTGACTCTTGCTTCAAGCGAAGCGCGTTGCCACTGCATCGGCAAAAGAAAGACCAAGTCCTCTCTCTCGGAATCTCCGTTTGGGGTTTTTGCATACAGCGCGCGGGTGTAAAGCGCGCCGGCCCCCGAATCGCGGTTTGGCGCCAGAAGCCTGGAGACAGCTCGTCCGCGCCTCGACGCTCTATTTGGCAGATGCTTGCCAAGGTTTGAGTTGCTTCAACTTTCCGACTTTGCGTAGACACCCTTTGACGACCTGTGTGGTGCCCGGGCGCGCCTTGCTCAGAGCACGCCGCCGAAGTATTCCTCACACGGCAGGGAGCAGGTGCAGTCCGGGTGCGATCTTGCCCGAAGCCAAGGTGCGGGCTCTCTGCTCCTTGACGCCGCATCTTCCAGATTGGTTCCTTGCTCTGGTTCTCGATCTCAACAACATTTTTGGACTTGCTCCGAACATTTGCCTTGGAAGCTTTTGGGGAGCATTGGATAGGCCCCTCCCCTGCAAATGAGCATGGACTAGGTCCCCCAGTAGTGCCCTTTTACCCTTTTTGGGGGAGGGTTCCCCTACTACAATAGACTACAGAAAAAATCGGGTACCCTTGTTCTAACCTCTCAAATCTGTTAGCTTCGGTATGCTCTGGGGGCCCTTACTCGTCAGACGCTAACCGCTTCACAGGGTGTGGAGCCTGTGGCCGCAGCACTGGAGACGGCGCACCGCGCGGTGTATCGCTGCCGCAGCCTAGGCGCGGCTGGGTCGGGGCGAAAAAGCGTTGCCGGACGGGACGGGCGGCCCCGGAAACGGAGAAGCCCGAGAAAAATGGAAAGAGGAGAAACCCGGAGAAACCCGAAAAAAAAGTTGCGACCCTTGTGAATGGAAAGAGGTAGGACCCTGTGAAGGAAAGAGGGGAAGAATCCCCCTTTGCTTAGAACTCTAGCTTGTAGGTTGTTGTGGGTCACGTGAATTGACTGATTACTGCGCATTTGGATAGTGACCGATCACTGCGCATCTAAGTGGAGATATAGTTATTTGCGTGTAGCTTTTGTACTCCAAAGTTGCCTTGTTCGGGAAGCAACTGGCGGAGCGTCCTTTGCACCTTGCTTTTGCACTGACATGTTGTGTTTTGCGAGCCAGATCAGCGCGGGGGCGCACTTCGAGCAATACTTGTTGAATAAACTTCGAGAGGTACTTCCATTTTGTACGTATTGCGAGTGCTAGTTTGCAGTTCAAAGTTCCCTATGGAGCTGCAGCTTTCAAACGTTGCGCTTTCCACGTTTCAGCGCGGGAGCGCTCCGTGTGACTACTTTCGTGCTTGAAAGTTGCGTTTTCTGAGCCGCCTTTGGAAAAGTACACTTCGTGCTTTGTGCCGAAAAGCTGCGATGCTCAAGTCGTAGGTGCTGCATTCTCCACTCAGGATCTCCGCGGATGGTTCACTGACACGCGTGATCTCCGCAGAGGGTTCGCCGAGACCAAGACACATGTGCACGGCGGCACAGCAAGAACACTTTGACGCGCACGATCTCCGCACAGGGTTCACCGAGCTCAAGATAATTTGCATAGCAGCGTCATACCACAGGAGAGAAACCACCCTTTCAGCACGTGGACGTACTGGGCCCATTCACCGCGCATATGCCACGCGCGGCCGATCAATCCGGTCTGGCTGTTTCGGGGTTTGGGGCCCCCATCCAAGCACGTGGTTTCACATGACTATTCAGGCCATTTAAAATGAGTTTCCTTTAGGCGGGGGTGATGTTGAAAGGGGACTCTCCAAAGCGAACTTCTGTTTTCGGTGGTGCATCTTTTTTTAAGGGTGCCTAGTTGTGACTTTTTGCGGCACATGCGTATGAATGCGCAGCAGTATTTCCACAAGAAAATGACCGGCCATTGCCAGCCGACGCCACGAAAGCAATTCTGTACAAAACCAATGGCTCATGACTCATGCCAGTACTTCTTTTTGTCACACGAAATGGAGCCCCCTATGGGTTTTCGTCTCGTGTGTTGCCCTTTAAGCGACCCGGACATGTATCCTCGAGAAAGGGCAACCGTGCGCACGCGTGAGCGTTGCTCACAATAGTACCTGGCCTAGATTTGGGGTGGGCCCCCTCTGGTGGGTTTAGAATGATTTAGAGGCCGATCGCAGTCTTGGATAGTCCATCGTTCCCAGTGAGTGGGTTCTGAATTTCTCTCTTTCACTCCCAAGGTTTCCTCCTTGGGTTCTCATAACATGGCCTTGTGTTTTGGGTAGTGTCGACCCCATATTAGTCAACCCCAGTTTATTCATGGGGGAATGTCCCTGGGTATAGTGGTCTGGACTCAGGCCACTTTTGGGGGGCCCCCACCTTCTTTCACTGGGGTTGATCCATTTCTTGGTCAACCTCATTGGATCGAACGATCAAACTGGGAACCCCCCGAGGTCCAACGGTCAATTCACACCCTCAAGCGTCTATAGGTCGGACCCCTGAGGGTACCACTATTTCGGAAATCCCACTTACCCCATCATTATGGTATAACTTAACAACCCCAGAATCCCCCCCCCCCCTCCCTTGATCCAACGACTCAATGGGGGCGTTTTGTTTTGGGTTCGGCGGTTCGGCGCCGCGCCTGCGAAGATCGGCCAGGGGTGGTGTCGGCGGAGGAGCTCGCGAAGCTGAGCCGGCCCGCCATGCCGGGGCGCCTTACATCAGGAAGACCCAAGGGGTCCCAAGGTTTTTTTTTGGGCGAAGACCATGGGTGTGAAGGGTTTTTTTTGGGCGACCATGGGGGTTGACCGTGGGTTAATGAACAGGTCAACTGACAACATGGAATGACCGTTTCTATGTGGAAGACCTGCTAAGATGAGATGTCCCTGGGAAAGGTTCGCCATGCTCATTGGGGCCGAACGGAATATTGACCCACACCCACATGTTGACACACCTGGCAGGCATGTTTCTCAGGCCCAAGCCTTGACGCCTTGACGCCTTGACGCGCTCCGAGCTCCTTGTTGGTTGCTGGCTCTTGTTTGTTGGCTGTTGCTTTTTGGCTGTTGGCCGTTTGTTGTTTTTGTTGGTTGTTGGCTGCTGCTTGTCGGCTTCGGATTTTAAAAGGACCGTTCTGATCAGAGGAGTCTCTTGAGGAATGGCTTCCGGCTCGAGAGTACTCACTCTCAGCTCACTCCCACTGTCTCAGTCCCACCTTTGTTGTCTACACGCTGGTGCTCGATTTCGTGGCGGGCACGGTGCTTTCATCTGTTTTGTTCGCGTGGGTTCCCTTGAGTTATCTGCGCTTGTTTGCTGGGTACTTTGATGATGTCCATCGATTTCGTGGGGTAAAAGGAGGTCTGTGTCTGTGTCTGTGTCTGTGTCTGTGTCTGTGTCTGTGTCTGTGTCTGTGTCTGTGTCTGTGTCTGTGTCTGTGTCTGTGTGTGTGTCTGTGTCTGTGTCTGTGTCTGTGTGTGTGTGGTCTATTTCTGACTGCAACCGCACATGGACCGTTCACTAGCATGTTCGAAGCAAACTCCCATGTTCGGTATTTAGTGCTGTACTTCAACACAGAGAACGCCTACACTTGCAGAGGGTGAACATTTGATGTTGAAAGCGAGGAAATGACCCAAAGGCAAACACTGCAAGCAGATTGGAGTTTGCATATGGACGGTTGGAGAGGGCCCGACACGTGGAATTCCGCGCTGGGATCCACACTGCGTAGCCCATTTTTTCCTCGGTTGTTGGGAAGGTGGGGGGGGGGGCGGGACACCAAAACACATATTGCTTTTCTCAAGAGGGGATGCTTTCAAACATGACTTACCTTCATCCCCATGCTTTGACATGGATTGCCTTTATGTGCGGACTGCTTCTGCCGAGGTGCCTGCAGGTGGAGGTCGGCTTTTCGCCCCTCATAGATTTGGAGGACCCTGATGCTTGATCGCTTGGTACGTGTTTTACGTGACCCGTTTTTATGTAGGATTACTGTTTGCAACCCTGTGCCACACCATAGGGCAACAGACCTATTGCGGACTGTAAATGGCTGTAAATATCAACATGAACATCTGCCAAAATGATCGGACATAATTTCCCGTGTTTTATTTTGTCCACAAAGGGGTCCACCCACTCAAGATGTATAGCCAATTTTGCAGCAAAAGAACAATGGGGTGCAGGGGTGCTGCAGCTGTATTTCCGGTTTCTGTAGAGGGACCCCAGTGGTAAGCACATTCTGCCACGGGAACTGAGCGAAGAATGGTTTCTGTTCGCCATGAGGCCCCCGTTTGGAAAAATGAAACACGCATGGACATTGTGCGTGTGTGTATGTCTGCGCGCCCCCTCCCTTAGTTGGAATCGGAATCCTTCAAGAAATGCCCCCGAACTCTGTGCACTTTTGCATAGCTTGCAGCTGGGGAAAGAGGCCATTTCCGAGACACGGAAGCTGCCCAGCCTTGCAAATACCCCAAGCGTTTCTCCAGGGGTTTCCCAAGCTCCTCTCTATGACCAGCCCAGATTGGGACTTTGAGCGAAGCCCTAGATTAAACTATTCTGCGAAGGTTCCAAAGATGTCTTGCAGTGCTGGGGCTCTAAGAGTTTTCCCCCACGGTCATCCAAGTATTCGACAGGAAGAGCTCACGGACACGGGGCTCCTCTCCCTCTTGGACATGCCTTCGGGCGTTCTTTGGGCCATCCAGGCGTGCCGCGCCTTTCGCACGCGGGGTTTCTCCTCTGCGGCATTTCGTGTTTCAGGGTTTCCCGTTTGGCCACCTCTTTTTGAGGGCACAACGTTGGACCTTTTTACGAAGGTTTCTTCACTTTGGCGCAGATCCTCCGTTTTCTTTTTCCTCAACAGGGCCACAAGATACGCCCTGCCTGGTGCACGGTGCTTATTTGCTGCTTGTTTTGCCAGCGTCGCAGGGCCGGTTCAGTGTTTGGCTATTGGGTCTCGTCGTTGTGCTTTTTTGCGGCCTCCTAGTGGGGAGCTGGCCACAATTGCTGAAGCACGTCGACTATGAGTTCAATGGTTGGAACCTTTTCTGTGTGGCTTTCAAGGTGCTTCAAATGGACATCACTGATTTGGGGAGTCTTTGGTTTGAAGAGAAGGCAATAGGCCATGAATTCCAGCAAAATTTGATTCCTGGGGACATGAACCGCGTATACGTTGCTGTCCATCGAGTGCCCCAGTGAGATTGGCTCCCAGCCTTTTTGAACATGGGAACCAGGATGAATGCGCCCCTGGTTGATTGCTTGTGCTGTGCCCCGTACTGGAGGAGAAGTCTCACTTTTGGGGAAGCCCTCAAATGATGCAGGTTGATCGATCCGGGGTGGAGTCCCTCGTCGTTTTTGGAGTTCAAAATGTTTGGGGCAGGTAGAAAGCCAATGTTCTTGGAGAACACACAGCTTTAGGCCTCAGAATTGGCGAGCCGGGCTTCAGATTGGTGAGTATACTTTGAGATCGCCAGTTGTTTGATGTTGGTTTTTGTTTGCTCTTGGGTTCGACCTCGAGTTTCATACTTCGGAAACTGTTTGCACAAGAAGTAGCAAGTTTGATTCACGTGAAGGACGGGAACCTTGTTGCCTTGTTGTTTTGAGAGTTTGGAAGTGCTCGGAGCCTGGTTGTACCATGAGGCTTGCTCATATTGTTGTAGAGAATGCTAATTGCAAGAACTGATTGATTGAGAGGAAGAGGAACCATATCACCACAGGCCTTTGGAATGGACAGGGGCTCCGAACAGTGTGTAGAAAGGTCTTCAAGGAAAACAAAAAGGTTAAAGGCTGTTGCTGTGTTCCTCCTGATTTCCTCCTGATGTTCCTTTAGCCGAGTCCCAAAAAAGACCCTAACAAAAAGACAATTGTACATCCAGATAAAGACGGCTGCTTTCGGCGTTCTTATGGTTCCCTCCCTGTATTTGCCACAGAATTACCCCAGTCACCCCAAATTCTGTTGAATGGTGTCCCAATTTCCCCTGTATATGCCACCCCATTCAGCCCTTCACCCCCTGGATGGTTTCCCTTGAACCGCCAACCGGCCGTTCTGCCACGTGATTTTGACCCAATGCCCCATGGGCTCGCTGCGCATCCCTAGCTCGCAGGACGTGCACGCCCTGCACAGCGCCGCCCTGAACAAGTCCGACGGGGTGCTGGCGCGGGGGCGGTGGGGGGGGGTGGGCGGTGCCAGGGACGCTTCGAGTCGATTTTTGCTGCCTGGAGCCCCGAAGAAGCCAATACCCTAGAAGAAGGAGGCCGAAGTGTCCATCATGCGGGGTTCATAGACCCTAAGTGTTCCTCATGCGGGGTTCATAGACCCTAAGCGTTCTTCATGCGGCGGGGGGGGGGGTGGTGGGGCGGGGTTCGCCGGACGTTTTCTCGCCGAGTCTTCTTTTTTTGCCGCAACAGAGGAGGTTTGGGAAGGCGAAAAGGTGTGTTTGGCAAGCATTTCTTCGGTGTAAAAAGAAAGAAAAACCGCGCGGGATCGCGTCTATTCCATTCATTTACCCCTGGAAAACGGATAGGCCAGGAACGAACGGGGCTGAAGAGCGTGTTTCAAGCACCCACATGGCTGGTGTTTGGATCCGGCGAAGCCCCATGGAAGACCCAGCAGCTTCCAATTTGGGTGGCTTATCCATTTTTTGGGTGGCACAAGGAATGAAGGAACGGCCCCAAACCGAACCTAACTGGCGTTTGCTGTGGGACCCCAACCGTTCTTTTTTGGAAGCCCACGGATTCGCTGACCGGAAGCTGGCGTCAGGTGGTGGTTGATGCCTCGAAGCACGACGTGCCGCAAGGGGCTCCCAGCGAGCGAGCGAAGCGCAGGGGGAAGGGTCTGGCAGTCAACGGGAAGGAACCGCCTACGGAAGGAACTGCCTCGCTTTCATCCAGGAGATGTGGTTTGGATCCCCGCGTTCTGGGGGTGATTCCTGTAGCAATCTTGCGGACGGGCGAATCTTTCCAGGTGTGGGGTGAGGTACGAAGGTTAGCTTTGTTGGCTTGTGAACGGGCTCATGAACCCCGGAATTTTAGAGCGAAACACAAGGGTTCCTTCCAAGGGGAACCAGTGAGCCGCAAGGAGTTTTGATGGCACATGTTAGCATGAAACTTCAATGGACATGGGCCGCATTCGACTCCGCCATGTGCCACTATACAGGGCATATCCTGCCTTAGACACTTCTGCTGGCAGTATAGTGGTGTGTCTTTCTCTTTTTCATGGCTTCGGTTCTTTTCCTTTTCCTTTAGCACCAAAAAAAAGAGACCCCCCAAAATGGCTTCGGCTCCTTTTGCTTTTCCTATAACACCAAAATGAACAGAGGGTGGCCTATAAAAATGGAGGGCAGCCCCAGAAGAGGGCGGGTTTTCCTTGAGCACCACCCCTTGGGGTTGCCTCAAAGGACAGACCAGCCACAAGCCAAGCCGACCCAGGCACTGGATGGGCAAGATCTTGCGCGAGGCTTTGAAGCAGGACAGCTCGTGACAACCCTCAAGGGATCGGCTCAAGAGTGCGACTGGGGGTTGTGGGGGAAACCACACATTTCTTCATGGGAGACACACCGGTGTGTAAGAACCACCGGTGTGTAAGAACCAGTTGGTCCCGAAAATATGAGAACTAGGTGAGACTTCCCCCCCTTTCCCCAAGAAACCTGGAAGAATCCTGCGTTGAAAACAATCCACTTCCGTTCTGGTTGGAAAACGCGCAAGCCTTTTGGTTGCTGCTTTGGTCGATTTTCTTCCACCCTACAGCAAGAACATTCCCAAGCAGAACTGGACACTGCCTTTTTTTCGTTTCATCGCCATGGGTTTTTCGAGTACACCCCATGCCAGGTGGGTGTTCAAAGGATGTCCCGATTCCGCGAATGTTCGGAAGACAGTCCCTGGAAGAAGGCCTCTTGCCCACTTCCACCGTTGGAAACGTTGGAAAGAGGCGAGTTCAAACACAGTGGTCCTTTTTAGACCGGGGTGTTGCCCAAATTTTTAGGCCTCCCTAAAAGCGTTTTCCGATTTGTCGCTCTTTGAGGTATGAGCTTGTCAACCAGGGTGGCAAAAATGGTTGGACCGCTGATGGCGGTGATGTCCGCTGTTTCTTTTTTTGGGGTGGTTCCCTTTTGGTTCCCTTCTCCCTTCTGCTTGTCAAGGACCTGAGAAAATGCATGGCAACCGCGCTCGCTGGCTTGGGAGCATGACCTCCACATGTCCATTTCACCGCAAGTGAGCCGATGGTTCGGGTGCAATAGGGTTCAAAAGAGGATGCTCCTGCAAACTGGAGGTTCAACCATTTTCGTGCCTAGAGAGAAACCACAAGTTGGTACTCTTTTTTTCCCCCGTTCCCCGGAAGAAAGCGCCGTTGCGCGCCATTTTGGGGTTCCAACCTCGCCCTTCGCCATTCGCCCCATTCGCGCCAAAAAGCCCCGCGAGGAGCATGACGAGGAGGAGTTCCAGGCCCCAAATCGTCGCTGGCAGACGGGGGGTACCATGCAGCGGACTCGGCCAAGAGAAATGGCCGTGGCTCAAAACCAATGGGATCCCATTTTGGGAGAGGCGAATTCACCCCATTTTCGGCTTCCTATTTTGGTGGTTGGATTGGATTTGGGTTTTGACCCATGGCCAAATGGGGGGGGGGTTTTGAAGCAGACTCCAAGACGTGGGGCCATGGATCAACTCCCACATGTGGGTATGTCATATGTCTTGGCTTTTTCCGGGGGTCCCATGTGGTTGACATATCGTCTCTTTGGTGGTTTTCCAACCAATGATCATCCCAAAGGACATTGATCAACCCCCCACATGTGGGTATGTGTTCGGTTTTACTTAAGGGGTCCTTTCAGGTGGACAGGAAGAAACATGGGGGAGGTGATGCCCGACCATTCTTGCGGGTGTTCCAATTCAATTGGCGCTTAGAGCCGAATAGGCTCGTGGGCATGTACTACATGTACAGCTGTGGCTCCTTTTTTTTTGACAAGCATCTCTCTCTTTCTGCTCGGGTTCTCGTTTCGGATCCAAACGACGCACTTCCCACAAAGGTTTTTAGACCCCTAAAGAGGTTCCTTAGAACCCTTCCTGGGGGGTGCGCAAACTTGCTTGGTGGCTTCCCAAGCAAGTTCTCAGGTACACCTCGAAAAGGCCAGCCCTTTCTGCCAGCCCTTGGTTGCAACTGCTGACAAGGATCTGGCTGTATCGAGAGTGGGGGTTGTGGAAAAGGGGCCAAGGACAACCATGAGACAAACCATGAGACAAGGGAAAGCCAGGGAAAAGCCAAGGGAAAACTCAAAGAGTGGGGCTTCCAAAGCATGAGACAAACCTTGGGGGGCCATTTGTGTGAGGACCGCGGCAGCCTGCGTCCGGCGGACTGCTGGATCGTGGCCAACCGCATTGACCAGCTCCCGGAGTTCTTCTGCAAGGAAGCGGCGCGACGGACGCTGTTGCCGGTTTCATTTCCGACTCCCCAAAGAAACTACCTGCCTTCCCGTGTGCGAGCCCCCTACTGCTTGCATTCCCCACGTAGAGGTCAGTGCCCCGGTTTCGTGTGCCCCTCAGCTCTCATTGGGAGGAGTTTCCCTTGGGGGGCTCTCCTTGTCTGGAGTCCATGGCAATTCGTTGGCGAGTTTGGGCAGATGTTCCCCGGTCCCTTACAGATATTGCCAGACTAACAGTCGCCCTTTTGCAAAAAGCTTGGATTTTTTCATGCCCCCCTTACTTGGCAAACAGCCCACACTTTTTGCAAGTCCGAGTCTGGGCCTCGTTTTGGTCCAAAAAGCCGCAGGAGAACGAGCTCTGCAAGAAAGTCATGCAGAGGCAATACCAGAATTACAGGGACCTCATCGTCTCAGAGGACGGATCGAGCCGTTTTCGGTTTGAGCGAAATATGCATTTTTAGCACAGGGAACCAGACGTCGAAAGAAACCTGTGGGCTGCGCCACAATTCTCTCTCTCTCTCTCTCTCTCTCTCTCTCTCTCTCTCTCTCTCTCTTTGGAGGGTGGTTGAGATGCGGTCCAACTTCCAGCAACTTTCCTAGGAATTTGATTGGGTGGGCTCCCTTTCCATCAAACAGGATTTGGCTGGAATCTCGTTGGACAAATTGGACTTCAGGAAAACATCAGGTGCTGGGAGTTTAGTTGAAAAGGTGCTGGGAGCATGGTACATGCCATGAGAGTTTCCATGGAATAGGGGGGAGAATGCAGGAGTCACAGGAAATCACAGGAAAGTCAGTGGAATTCTACAGGTACACGCAGAAGCACCTGTTTGAAGCGACCCAAGATGGGATCGTGTGTTACGGCCCGCATGAAAGGCGAAGCAAGGGTTCTCTATATTATCTCTTTTGTATGTTCTAGATATCGCTTTTTGTTGATTGCCAGGCTGATGTGTCTCAGGGGCGCATAGTATGAAGTTGAAACGCTGAAGAAAGAGTCTTCACGCCCCGCCCCCATCTGAGCTGAAGTTGTCCCACTCCATTTTTGGATTTGCCTTGTGCACCAGAGGCCATCCCCAAAATGGCCCAGTTTGACACCAAGGCCACTTGTTTTCCTGCTGGTTCTCGGTTGTGAAAATGTCCCCAAGGTCAAGTTCATGCCTGGGTATTCAACCATGCCTAGAAGATTCTGGGGGGGGGGGGTTCATGTGAGTGCACGGGAGGGTATGATTCTCCTTCATCCCCCAAATGACCATGGCTAGCTTTTCCCATTTCGTGGGGACATATCATGTTTTTCGTGGTTTCCTCTCCCCCCCCTGGTCATCCCATGTGTATCGGACCTTTGGATCAACCGTCCCCACTTCGCTCTCGCGCTTCGAGCGGCTCCTCGAGCGAGGATCATGTGATCCCTGTGGCAGCGAGGCTCTCCTCGCTGGCGATGTACGGCACTGACAAGGCCGGCTTTGTTTTTTGTTGTTCTTTTCTTTTCTTTTTTTTGGGGGCGGGGGGGGGGATGATCTTGTTTTTGTGTTGTTCTTTTTTTTCTTGATGTTTGTTTTTTTGGGTGGATGGGCGGGTGGGACTTTCTGACACTCTCAAAGGATCATGTGGTATTCAAATTTGAATCTACGGGAGGTGGGTTCCTCGAAAGGTCACTTCCAATTTGATTCCTGCTCCGGGGCAAAAGGAGCTCACCCATGATTCGTTTTGTGAATTATCGTACTTGCAGATTCTATTTTCGGGCACCCCCTCCATTTGTGGGACTGCACAAGACTCGCAGAAAGCCTCCGGCCTTAATAAAGCATAATAAACCCAAGGGACACCAACAGTGCCCCGTTTTGGGTTCCTTCCGTTGATTTGCAGTCCGACAAGAAGTCGTGTTGCCGTCGCCCTCTGAAGAGTGGTAGCTGATTCGAAGGTTCGTGGTCTGGTTGGCAACTTGTACTGAAAGCGTTTCAAAGAGCCGGCCGGGAGATTGGCCCTCGTTTCCCTTTGGCTCCCCTCGCCAAACCGTTTCCAAAAACGAAGTGAGCCCGAAAAACGGTGTGTCCTCTTGGCTTAGGTTGGGCATGGGTGTTTGGCCCTTCCCTGTCTGTGGTACTGTTGATGTTCGAAATTCTACATGGGGTGTGTCTTTTTTGAAGTTGGATCCCTGCCCACTTGTGTTTTTCTTTTCGGTTTCCCCAAACAACAGACCCACACGACATATTTTTTGCTGGGACAAACCCATGGGCGCCGAACAGTTTTTTTTGTCTCTTCTGTTTTTTTTTCTTTTTCTTTCTCTATTTTCCGCTTTTCCGCTTTTCCCGGCGTTCGAAACGAAGCGCTGGCTCCAGGTGCGGTCGAACCTCTCCCAAGAGTTCCAGAGCCTGGAGAAGAAGCCGTGGTCCGGGCCCTGAGCGAAATCGGATCGGGCCCTGAGCGCGATCGAAATTTTTGGGCACCGGGGACATGTGTCTCTAGGGAGGGAGTCGGGGGTTGAGGGGGGAAGCGACCGTGGCGGGTTGGAGGGTGTTTTTTGTCTCTCTCTTTTTTGGGAGGATTAGTAGAGTTGAAGATGTTGATGGCCGCGAGCCTTCAGGAGATGACCAACATCCAAGGGTAAGCACTTAGTTTTCCGTTTAAGTAGGCTACTCAACTGGAAACCAAACTTAGCCCAGTGTCTGGTCCCAATATTGCGGGTGTTTTGCTATGTCTCGCCTCGCGAGGTTTGCACAGACCTGCGGCTTGATGTTCGGCATGCACTGGCAGGACCAGGCAAGGTAAGCGACGTGAATGGTGGGTTTTTTTCTCGGTGAACGTGACTCCAACGTCAGTTCAGTTCAACGTCTTGTTGAATTTGTGCTTGGCTTTCAAACACGATCTCTTTTCGTAAGGGTACGGTTTGAGGGGAACAACGGATCAAAGATCACCTGGAAGCGTGGCTTTGTATGCATCACCCGATCTTTTTCGGGTCTACCTTTTCTGAGGGGATGAAGGCGACCGTTTTGCTCAGCCAACACTCTTGATATTGAGTGCTGTCCTAGGATGCAGACTTTGCTGCCTAGTTTTGGCTTGCTTGCAAGAGGTTCCCTTTCGAAACATTTGTTTTCTAGGCAAAGGTCAGTTGTGCAACGGGTTCCACCAGTTTCGGGAGGGTTTGCTTTAACCCAGAAATGCTTGGAGAGCTCCTTCTTTTTCCTATGCGAAACCACTTGCATTTTTGCGCTTCCGTCAGACGCAGAGTGGATAGACCTTCCTTTGGGTTACATGTAGACTTGCAAAAGAGTAGAGGCGATACGAGTTTGAACAATGGATCTGGGCTACAGTCAAGGCATTTTGCAGGACCGCCCTGAAATATCCAGATTGGAATACGTTGTGCCAAGGGAACACTGAGGCCTTCCATGTGCCCCGTGTGTCAAGCAGTGGGAAGGACCTCCCAGCTGCTTGCCAAGAGTGATCCAATGCAAGCCAGCGCTTCGGCTCTGCGTTTCCACTGAATGAGTTAGTGGAACCTCGTTTTTGAGTACCAAAGGCAACAATTAATGGGAGAAGAAGGCTTTTTGAGTGCCTCCTTTACCCTTGTTGGTTTGAGGGAGACCCAACAAGAGAGATCCGGATTCAACGTTTGGAAACTTCAAGTGCTGCGCCAGGCCCGGGATCTGGAGCACAACAAATGGCCGGGCGCTCGAGAGCCGAAATCAAATTGGGGGCGTTCCCATCGAAATGTGACTTTTTTTGTTTCTTTTTTGATGGGAAAGCCAAGAAGTGTGGGAAGAGGTGTCAAAGTTTTCGATTTTAGAATGATTTTCGCTGGGGGTGGCTTTGAACAAACACAGGCGACAGAAAGAGAGGAGAGGTGTGCGGCCTCCGTTTTTCCCGCCTGGCCACCGGGGGATCAGTTGGCGTCTTTTGTTTGGTTGGTTCTTGGTGCTGCCTGGGTGCTGGTTATATGCCGCGTTGGCGCGTGACATGTGGTTTTGGGCTGTGTAGATTTGCCCCTAGACATACAGAATATTTCTATAAGTTTGCATGGCTATTCACTGGAACCCTCTCAAAAGTGTTGGGCAATCAGCGTTCAACTATGGCTGTGAATCTTAACGAGGACCCCCCTCCCACATGGTTGGTGGACGTAAATCCCCACGGAATTTTGATGTCCGCCGGGTCATTCATCAGAATTCACACTAAGGAAGTTCCCTCCACTCCCTTTCGGGCTTGCAACCGGAAGACGTTCTTGGCACTTGGATGTCCACGCGCTGGTTGCAACTGCAATCTGTTCCGTCCAAGCTATCAAACCAAGCAAAAGAAGAAAGCAAGAGCCGCAAGCAAAACATACAGCCAAGGAACTCAACCCCAACCCCAAACAAACAACAGAATCACTTCAACTCCAAGGAGCTCAAACCGCTTCGGTTGGCTTCGCGGCGCTACCCGCGAGGCGCTCGGCCATGCGGGAACTCAAGCTGCTGGGCCAGGTGTGGGGCTCTCTCTTTCAGAGGTTGCGTTTTTGAAAGGGGGGTGGTGGCGGGGGGGGGGGTGGGAGCGTCCGTTTCTTGGATTTTTTTTGTGTTTTTCCACTTCCCTTTTGTGTGGCGTCTTTTGTGAAACAACCTTTTAGAGTTTGTGAGCTTCTTCGCCGCTTTTCGGACTTTGGGCTTCCATCTGTTTTGGTCGCAAACGGAATCCGAAGGGAACCCGCGCATGTTGAGGGTCCCGTTTCCTTTAACCCGGTTTCCTTTTTGTTTCCCTTTAGAAGAACCCACAACGATTCAACCCATGGTGCCATTTTGGGAGTTGGTTCTGAAGCTGGGCACGGCCCTTGCGAATGCTCATCCTTCGAAACCTGCTTCATCGGACAAATGGGTGTTTCTTTTTTGATGGCACCCCTTTTTGGGATGGTTTTAAAGGGGAACAAAAGAAGGCAAACCACCCCATTTTATGGCTCCCCCTTTTTAAGAGACACCCAAATCAACCTTGGCGATTTCAAACAAGCGGTGGTAGCTCCTGCTTGCCAACGCTTGCTCCCAAAAATGAGCCCCCCCCCTTTCAGGGACCTCTAACTGCGAAGGATTCAACGAAAAATCGGAGGCCCCTGTTGGAGGGTATATATGAGGGGAGGATGCTCTGGGGGGTCCAACCCGAATGTGGAAAACCAAGCCAGGGTTCCTCCGAAGCTAAACAGATCACTACAAAACCAGGTAAGGCAATTGGCTGTTGCCGCGCCCTTTGATTTTTCTGCTGATGTTTCAAGGGGGCCTTTTGGGGGCTGGCCCTGTGTTTCTTCGGAGCCTGAGATTAAGGGAGGGGTGGGGGCGGGGGTTCTGGACAGGTGACGGGGCCTTTGGCCAACAGCGTCCTCAAGACGGCGGGGGGAAATTTCGGGGCCCCTCGGGGCATTGGGCTTGTGTCGGGGTGTGCCAGTTGACCGGATCTCCATGGCTATATTGGGGAAAGGGTAAGAATGCATTAGAGAGAGTGTGTACATGATAAAGCGAGAGTACAGTGATAAAGAGAGAGTGTACATGAGGATGAAAGTAAGTACCAACCATATTTTCTTCATGAATATTATTCCGGAGAAGATAGCAATTATAGCTCCTAAAGAAAGAACAACATGAACATGTGCTACAACATAGGCCAGATAGAGCGAGAGCCGCGCTCAGAAGCTGAGGCCAAGCGAAGCCTGAAAGAACATGCAAGGAATTTGACCAATTTCTAGGGACCAGTTTTTAAAGGGGATTTGATTGGGAGTCTGGCACCAAAGGAAGCCGGCAAGGTGCCGGCAGGGCAAAGCTGGGGCCGAACGTGGGGAAGCAGCTGGCACGGCAGGATGGCGGGGCACGTCTCCGCTGACCTAAGTTGCCAGTGTGCAGGCTAGCCGAAGATGTCAGACGGAAAGGCGCGCAAGCTATCCAATCGCTCCGGCATTGGACTGTCAGAATGGGCCGGCACCATGCAAGGCTTGCACGGGCCGCATCGATCTCACTGGACTGATGAAGGCGGCAGACAAGCGCGATCTGAGCAACCACTTCGCCGCGCTGAATGCCAGGATTACGGCGGCGTCGGTGAGGGCTTGCCTTCAGCTCGCTCAGGACATTGAGGATGACTTTGACCTACCTAGGCACGTACTCGTACTCGGAACCCTCTAGCTTGCAGCTTTTGCTTTGAATCCAGAAGTCTGGATTCGGCATATGCGAGGCGCTCCGAAGATCGACTCATGACTCTTGAAGGAAGCTGCCGATGAGCCGGGGTTGCGGCCGAGGATGAGGAAGGGCCAGCGGAAGGCCACGAGAGCGAGGCGCGCTGTGGAAATCGTCGACGAGGCAGAGCCGACGGTGAAGCCTTCAGGATCAAAGGAAAAGAATGCCAAGGATTTCGAGGACGAGGAAGAGCAGACGGTGAAGCCGAACGGTGAAGCCTCAAAGATCAAAGGTTAAGAAGGCCAAGGGTTTCGAGGACAAGGAAGAGCAGACGGTGAAGCCTTTGGTCAAGGATTTCGAGGAGGAGGCAGAGCTGGAGCCCAAAAGCTCAAAGGCCAAGACTTGCGCAACAGCTGCGCTTGCTCGTTGCAAAGTGAGAACAACAAGTATCAGACCTCGAAACACACAAGTATTGCCTGGCTCAGAGCCTTCATCAAGTCTCTGCAGACACCATCTTTCAGATCTCATGGCCCGGAGCTCAAGAAACTTGCAGAACTGAGTCTTGTAGAACTGAACTACTTTGCCAAGATGCATGCTTACTCGGTTCCAGTGACACCGCGTGCGACAGAAACCTTGGCAATTGTAACTTTGTCAAGATCCAACTTGCTTGTGGCGCTTGTAGAGCGCAATGCCTCCAAAGAGAGGGCGCCGTCGTGGGGTGCTCTTGCGCGATGGCCTCGTGCAGTTCTGGAGGCAGCTGATTGCCAACCAGCCCTGCACAGCGGCCGCCACGCTGGCCAGCGCGGCTGTTCAACTCGGTGCGGCACTGAGGGAGCGACCTAGACACCTGGCTCCGCGAGACCAACTGCTGCGTGACTGGCTGCGATTCAGGCGTGGAGCGCCAGCATGCTTGCAGTAATCCAGACAACAGAGCCCAGGAGGACGACTCGCCTCATACCGCAGCGCGCAAGGCATTCCTCCGCGCACGGACTCCCTCACAGTTCTAGCCCAGCTTGTATTCTGGAGCCTTATCTGGAGGCAGCCCTGTGGCCGCATCGCACCCGTGGAAGGCTTGGCCGGGCGACCCTTGCAAGACCCATGAGGGAGACGCAGAGAAGAAGAGAACTCAGCCAAAGCGCGCTACATCTTGCGGCCGGGAGCGCGGCATTTCGATGTGCGTGTTTACCGGAAAGTTGCGCTGAGGCAAGTGTCCGGCGGGCAAGCCAACCACAACTCCTTACCAACACGTTTGGGGGCGCGCAGTTTGGGGTGCTGGTGCAGTGTTGGGTGCTGTTTGAGGTGCTTTGGGTGCTGTTTGAGGTGCTGGTGGCGGCGTGGGCGCGTCCTTACAAGATTGACGGTAGGGTTCTAGGGAGCGTGCAGTTTGGGGTGTTGGTGCAGGTGCTGTTTTGGGTTGTTGTTTGGGGCGCTGTTTGAGGTGCTGGTGACGGTGCGGGCCCATTGTTTTGCAAGATTGAACTCTTCGCGAGGTGCTGTTAGAGGTGGTGGCATGTCTTTTTTAAATCTCGGGTCTATGCTGATGTAATGTTAAACCTTCACCAGTTCTTTTCCAGTGCGCAACGTGTCGCGAGTACACCTGGTGGGGGAGCGCGGGACACGGTGCAAAAATTCGGCGCGATGCACGCAAACAAGTGCATCGGGGGCAGGTTCGAAATTGCAGGTCTGACCGCTTCCCGGCCACGGGGGCTGAGGCGAAGATGCACCATGTAATCCTAGAGCCACCGCACGTTTCCCAGAATCATTCCTACAGCAAACATTAAACAAGGAGACGAGAGAAGAAGACAGAAGTAATGCTAAGGTGTAACAAAGATGGATTGGAGAGATATCTAGAAAGAAAATTAAATATGTTTGTCCCAGTTGGTAAAGATATGAAGGCTGTAACTCCTGTAACGTAAGCTCACGTATTTGGTTCGATTTTGTTACTTCAACCTTTTGGGAAACAGAGGATGTTCCGTTGGACCCACTCAAAATTTGACATTTTTGCTCAGCTTCGGGCAAGTTCAATAATATGTTTGAACAAATAGGACTTGTCAAGACCCTGACAAACAAAAGTGGAGGGACCCTTTCTAAAAGGGTTTCTACGAGAGTGATCCCTGTCCAGTGACTGTTCACGGGGCCCAGTTACGCTTTTGAGAAGTGGTAAGATGTTGATTTGAGGTCTACTACCTGTGTTTGCTTCAGCTGTGGTTTAAGATTTTGTTTGGCTCCCTCTATATATAATTATATATGTTTGTATACATATGTATATGTGTGTTTGTATACATATATATAGGTGCGTTGGTTGCAAGATGTTGCAAGATGCTCCGAGCTCTTGATTTCAGTGGGAGGGCTTGGCTGAGCAGGCTTTACGGCTGCCGGGCACAGGGCTTCGGGTGCCGGGGTTTGCTTATCAGTTGGCATCCGAAAGGAGGAGCTGAAGCTTCATTTGGGTACGTTTTAACCTAAGGGGACATCCAAGTAGATATATACTTTTGGGCTCCCTTCAATCCAACCTCAAACGGGTACCCTCAAAACACACCCAGTTGAGCACCGGATGGCGCTTGCAACCCTTTTGGTGCAAGCGTCCTGAAGGGTCACACCGATTCAACCACTTAAAGTTTTCTTCCTGATCATTCAAAGAACCGCGTGCCCAAAACTGTTGAGAGGAGGAGAGGAGGCCCTACGACCGGAATTATGGAGTCGGTATGAACCATCTTGATGGCAAATTCTGGATGGTTGGACTGCCAGCAGGTCCCGAAGCTGGGCATTGCTCAGAGACCAAGAAGAATCCACCAGCCCCAGCTTTTTAGGAGCCCTGCGTCTAAAGGCAGGAACATAGAGCACCGCTTTGGACCGGGCTGCACACTCATACCCCTTACCCCAGACATATACCGTGTACTTGCTTCTTCCCAGATGAGGGCTTTGGGATGCGAATCCTGCCCCTGTCCCCAAAACCTTGGAAGCATATGAGCCACAGTAATCCCTCGCATGGTCACACAGGATCCCGCGTTTCTTGCAGTTATTTTCCACGCAAATATCAGGACCCAGGATGACAAAAACAACGATATAAACAGCCCCACCTAACATTGACGGAGGTTTCGCTCCGTTCTGCTCAGATCCGGTGTGCTTTTTAGGGGTGGTTTACAAGGGACCACTCAAAAGGCAACCCAAGCAGCCATTTTGAGGGCTCCACATAGCTGCCCTGATCCCGCTCGGGGCTTGCGGGAGCATTTGTGCCGTGCTCAAATCAGGGATGGGCATGGAGCCCTTAGGGTTTTTGTCGACCATAGGCTTCCTTTTCAATGAGCGTGAGCCGTGAGCACGGCACATATGCTCACGTGGGTGTTTTTTCATATATAGGTATTCAAAATGGAACCCTGGTACAAGGACTAAAACTGAGACCTGCGGTCCATATCCTGGTGGGTAAATTTTGACCCACACTCAAGTCGCAAATTTTCAGCGGAGTCCAGGCAAAGAGTTTTTTGATTCCAGGCCTACGTGAAGATGATGCCCCACTCGGTGGCTCGTGTCATGGGGGCCTTGTCCAATCTGGCTTGGCCCGAGGCCCGGAAGAAAAAAGGCGCTGACCAGGGGCTGGCTGGCAACAGGTCCGCGCTTCCCACGGGCCCCGGAAGCTCGAGCTGGTCATTTTCTCTCTTGGGATGGTGGGTTTTCTCGAATCGAGTCCGATCGAGGAACTTCTGTTCCGCCCTCACGTACATGGCGGGTGCTGATGGCCTCGTCAAGGCGCGGAGCTTTGGGGGGCGCGGGGCGCTGCATGCCAAGCAACTCCCATCCAGTTGTGCCCTTTCTCCCCCTTGAGTCAGGCGCCAGAAACCCGCAGCCCCTCCTTTGGAGGGGAGATTCGAATCGAAACTGAACAACACGTGCCACTGGGGGGAGGCCCTGCGTGGTCACTGGATGGCCCTTCTTCCGGCAGCTTAGCCTGTTGGAAGGGAACCGACGCTGGTCGTCGCCAGCGGGAAACTGCTCAAGTTTCGTCCGGGACATGGCGAACGATTTTGGCTTCCACCCGAACAGGCCAAGGAAACGCAGTCATGTAGAGACCCTTTGATTGAGGCCAGGAATGCGCCGTTTTGTTTGGGAAAGTGAGGTGTGAACAGACGGATGCTGGTGGTAGCCAGGTTTGGAGAACGGCGAAGGAAGTAAGAGCGCAAGTGTGAAGAATAGTGCTGTTTTGGACACGCAACAAGTTCGGAGATAGGCAGACCAGTCAGATTGTTTGGATAGGCTTCCAAGATCATGAGGGCAGTCGTTCACGCGTTTCATTCAGCGCTTTGGGGGTTCACTTGCTGATCGTTCAGCCAATACACAAACAGGAATTGCACCATCTACTTTCTCCTGCATGCATGCCGAAGCCTTTCCATGCGATCTATGTTGCCCTTCGAATTCTTGCCCAGCCTCCTCGACTGGCCCTGAAGAGAGTCGCTGAGAGCCTCTACAGAATGCATGGCCGGACACAGGTCGCATAGAGATATACATTTCTTGTGCATGCTGTGTTCCGTCCACGGCAGGACTCGTCGACCGTTTTGTTGCTTGCATTCTTGAATGTGGCCCCATGGTTGGTGCCTGCCCCTTGAGAAAACCCTGGCAGAGTATGCGTTTCCCACCCTGTTGGGTGAACGACACACCACAAAAGCTCACTGGCTGGCGCTATGCTCGGCCCAGCTCCACCCCTTTGTCCTTTCGTCTTTTCTTTTTGTCTTTTTGTTGGTTCTTTTTTAAGTTTTATTTTTTCGGAGCCAAGGATGGCCGACCCCCGGCACAAACCAATCGTCTATATTTTTTTCGTGGCCGTTGGCTTCCGACCAAGTGTGGACACGTCCGACCTGAAGCTTCCCTCAGCCCCGGTGGCCCTTGGATCACTGGGCGTTCCGAGGCTCCCAGCTTTTGGTGGCCGTAAGCACCCACTTTAGCTCGGCTTGGGCAAAGAAATTCTACCACCTCACAGGGGGGGATCCGACCTGGCTTCCGACCTGGAGCTTTCCCATTTCAGTGAAGCCTGGTGCTGAGGTCTTCTTTCAAACTATTGTTTTTTGTTGGGTTCACCGCAAATGAAGCAGAATCTGTGCGTATGGTTTTTGGTGTAGCCGTTGGTTGGGCCAAGTACAGCGCACCCTCTTTTGGGTGAGTGATTCGCAAGACAATTGCACAGTCGAAGCTGCGGTATGCTCAAGCGGTCGGTACATGCAATACAGCCAGGGACGTTTTGCTCCCGAGTTCAACCTTTATGCTGAAGCACACGAGAAGAATGAACTTGGGCCGGCTGAGTTGCTGTATGCATGCATATTGGAGAATGCAAGAACAAATACATACATAAGCGAATTGATAAACAAACAAGCACCTAAAACATGCCAAGCATTATCACAAGTGATCAAACAATAATTGTATACACGTTGCGTACCCCTTTCTGCTTGTATTGGCACTCCGGTGCCGGCTTTGATCACCACATGGCGCCGAACGAGAAGCTGCACTGGCGCCTCGTGTATGGCCATTCCCTGAGTGCATGGATTTTAACCGACTTGCTTGTCGGCCGGCCAGTCCACTGAAGAAGTGAGATGATTATTTCCCATAGCTTTTTTCTGTTTGCTATACAGGATAATGTATGGAGGGGGCCTCAATAGCGTACCAGCACTTTTGCCCTAGGTGGTGGGAATGGGGGAGTGAACTGGGTTGTGTGTTGTACAACGTTGCGATTGGATACCTGAAGATGCCAGAAGTGTCTACTATGGAGTGGACAGCCTCTCAGACATGCACACACATGTCACGCCCCTCAAGAGCAGCCTTGGGAAAAGCCTGCACTCGCCTGCAATGGTACGTACCATTTCCACTTACTTGAGGGGTGTCTGTGTGTGTTGTTTGCAGATGTTGCCAGGCTTTGGCTGGGGTGTTGTCTAGGGATGTGTAGGTCAGCCCCAGCGGGGCAGTCTTGTAGGGCAATGACTCCGGATTCATGAACTTTCCAATCATGAAGCGGAGGACCCAGTCGCCCTGGAATTGAATGCTCACTCAACAGGGACCCCGTTTTTTCTTTGTTTCTTTGGACTAGTTTGCAAGCACCATTTTCCAGGGGCAGAGATGTCAGAGATAGGCCACATCTTGCATTTGATTCTCAAACAAACATGCTTTTTGCGTGCCGGCTTATCCTCTCCCGTGCATCTGGCAGAGAGCATTCACTATCGACAATCGCTCTCCAGGCACTTCCTTTGGGCTCCAGGTCAGCCTAACCAATCGATGGGGGCGGGGGGGTGGCAGACGCAGCCATAAAACACTTGCTGCAAGAGCCGACGTCTTTTATATATATATATATTTACATGTTTTTGGGCAGACTCCTCTAACACCAGACTTGATTCCGGCTCAGTCGAGGTGTGTGTGTGTGACAAACATCCCGAATGGTAGCTTTACGCTGGAGGCGTTTCTTGTGCCGAACATCGGTCTGAAAACCAGGACCTCTTTTTTGGGGCCCTTTCAAATGCGGACCAACATGAACACGTTCCAAAAGAGGTTGCGTCAAGTTGGGACCCCCTACTTGCGTTCCTCGCCTTACGAGTTTGCAAAATGATTGCACTGCTTACATTCTTCTCTTATGACGACTTGAATTCATTTTATAGGAGCACCACCCCCTTCAATGATAAAGTCCTTATTTGCGCCGTTCAAGGAACACCACGGGTTTTGAACATGAGAAGAAAACCAGTCAGAGTGTGCTGGAGCGAGCAAATCGCCCTTGGCACCGAGGACGGTGCCAGAAGACCGCGAGCTGGTCGTCGCGGCGGTGCACAACGATGCCAGAAGCGTGCCGCGGCAGGACCCAAGGAGCCCCTCCTACCTCCTACCCACCTAAGAAGGTTCTTGCGGCCTTTTCCTTGGGGGGGGGGGGGGGAAGGTGGCTTCCCCTGCTTTACTCCAACACCGGCAACATTACCCAAAACGGGTTATTTTCTCCTGCTGGAGAAGGAGTAAAGCGCTGGCAAAATCGCCTTCCTCATAGGTGGTCCTTTTTGGTTGTTTTGGTAGAAAAATAGATGGCCCTGGTCTCCCTTGTTTCATCATCTGCCAGGGCCATCTATTTACCCTAAAAGGACACCTATGGCCTTCCTTGCCGCAGCCATCTTGGGCTCAAACCTCCCTTTGCGCCCAGGTGCAGCGCCTGGCAGAGCACGGCTTCCCCTGTGACAAGGAGGTGGCGGGCAAGATGCTGCTGCTCTCTGCGAGCCGAGACCGGCACCTTGGCTCGCTTGAGGAGAAGTTTCGGCCCAGATCTGCGGGGATGGTGTTTTTTTGTTTTTTGTTTTGTGTTTTTTTTCCTCAACTCGGAGTGTTTCTCTTAGGTCTGGCTGGCTGGTCGTGGTCGTCGTTGTTGTCGTGGTCGTCGTGGTCGTCGTCTTGTTGTCCTTGTCGTTGTTGTGGAGGTGGAGGTCGTCGTCGCTGTTGTTGCTACTGTTCTTCTTGTTGGCTGGTTGATTGGTTGATTGGTTGGTGGGTTGGTTGGTTGGTTGGTGGGTTGGCTGGCTGCTCTGGCTGGCTGGCTGGGTGGTTGGTGGGTGGGTTGATGCGCACCGGCTCGTGAATAGTTAGTTGCTCAGGCCTGGTTGTGGGCGGCAAAGGGCTGTCAGCTAGGCTGCTGTTGAGTGGGATTAGGGCTGACCTTTGCTGGGCTTGGGGTTGGCTTGGATCTGTTTTGTGCTAAGTCCTGCTAGCTAGGTGTGTGGCTGGTTTAGCAGTGGCTAAGTTTTGGGTTGATTTGACTTTGCAAATCCATGGTGAAACGAAACTCGCCGGGAGTGCAGCGGAACGTGCGGGGTTTGCCAAAGTCATTGCCCGGAAAGCCCACCCAAACAAGGTGCCCTCATATCAAGAAACGCCGCATGGTCAGGTGGAACCCTGTGCGCACCATCGTGGATGGAGGCTATGTGCCTTGGACCAAGCAATGCCTAGTGCGGGCAATGCTAGTCACGGCCCGCAGTGTTGGGTCGAATTTGGGTCCGCTTCTTTTGTTTGCGAAGGGGGTCCAACGGCGAACCCAGGACAGGTGTCACTCTCTTTGGCAAGCAGATTTGCTTCGCAGCTCGGTGCTTTGTGGGCAGACGTTTAAACAAGCTTGCATCCTGGTCTTGCCTAAGATGGTACCGTCCGTTTGCGGAAGGGAGGTGTTTCTCAGGAAATCTGCTTTTGTTTTTGGGAAGCCTTTGGAAGCCTTTGGTTTAGACTCAGACTATAGTTTGACTTGTATAGATCCCGGAATTGCGGAAACTGTTCTTCACCATTAGGAACCCCGGCAGATGGTTGGCAACCGGCATTCTGAGACAGACCCACGCCAACGCTTAGTCCGGAAGAAACCCTGCGGATGTGAACGTTTTTCAATACCTGAGGCATTTGGCCAACGTTTGCTGCAGAGGGTTTCTTTGGGGCCATGAAAGCACCGCCCATTTCTACTGCTACTACCACCGCAACCCAGCACAACCAACTACAGCTCACAACAGCCTACTACAACTTGCCCAACGTCCTATGACTTTCCCTACACTGCAACTTGCTACAACCAACTGCAACTTGCCTCAACTTACAGCGACTTGCTGACACTTGCTACAACTTACTGCGACTTGCAGACACTTGCTACAACTTGCTGCAACTTGCCACAACTTACTGCAACTTGCCACAACATACTGCGACTTGCTGACACTTGCTGCAACTTCAAGCTTGCTACAACTTGCTGATTACAACTTAGCAACTTGTTACAACTTCCTGCCACTTGCTAGAGCTTCCTGGAACTTGCTTGCTACTACTTGCCACTCCCAAAGCCTTACTCCTCGCTGCTACAACTCCTCGCTGCTACACCCTGGGGACAATATTTTGATCGTTTCTAGGGGTTCTCAAAGTCAGAACATGGGGGTTGTGTCCCTTTAACCCATCGCTCAAGGGGTGACTTTGATGGTAAAAGAATGAGGCCAGACACCTTGCCACTTGGCTATGGGTCAAAATCCCGTACCCCCACTAAAATAGGAAGCCTAAAATGGGTGGTGAACTCACGTACCAACCAAAATGGGATCCCATTGGTGTTGACTCACGGCCACTTCCCAAAGACCTGCTCGCCAGGATCTGAAGTCGGCCACGGGCGCGCGCGCCCTGCTGCTGGCGGCCTCCAGGGAGCACTGGGCCCAGGTGGCGCTGCTGCTGGAGCGAGGCCCAAGGGCCCCAGTCGGGCCCCATGGCTCGGGGGTCCTTTTTTGACGGGTGCTGGGGGGGTCGAACTTGTCGTCTGGGTGTCTCTGTGTTTTTTTTTTGGGGGGGTTAAACCTCCCCCTGTACTGGGGGTTTCTGGACGTTTCCCTTTTTTCTGAGGGAGGTTCTGGAGTTTTCTGGTATCAAAGGAGGTTGTTTCCCTTTTTCTGGCGCTTAGAAGGTGACTCTCATAATGGCGAACCAAGGGTCCCCGTGGCTGTTGATTCCCACAAAGGGGTGGTTTCAAAGGGAAGCCAAGATCATACCTCGCGGGTTGCGATCGCTTGCGCCAAATCATGTGTTTAGCATCCGAAAAGAACCCATTTACCACAAAAAAGTGAAGGTCCTGTACTTGGGGATCTACTTCTTCGGAGTTATGATAAGCAAATGCAGACTGACTCTTGCAGACTGGGTCTTGAATAGCCCAAAATGGCCAACTCCAGAAAAGAAGTACCAGAGTCAACTGGGTCTTGGGAGTCTATGGTTGGCTCGGGGATGACAAGGGGCTTCTGAATTCCAACCACCCCCCGAATGTTTTTCTCTTTCCGAAAAAGGTGAAATTCTTTCCGGAGACCCTAATGGTGACCCTCTTTGAACGGGAAGCCTAAACAGGGGGCGCTACTCTCACATATTGGGACCTGCTCTTTTTGAACAAGGCTCAGGTTGCTATCGTGTAACCTCTACCTACTATGCATATTTAACATGTCAGCCAAAAGGCTCCACTCAATTGCCCCTTCGCGCTTGGCCTGAAAAGTATCAAGGAATGTCGACATATGCCCCTGGCTGAAGCACAACCCAGATTGTATTTAATGTCTATTATTAACATTATTATTAGTATTATTATTATTATTATTCTTATTATTTTTATTATTATTATTATTATTATTATTATTATTATTATTATTATTATTATTATTATTATTATTATTATTATTATTATTGCTATTATTATTATTATTATTATTATTATTATTATTATTATTATTATTATTATTATTATTATTATTATTATTATTGTTATTATTATCAATATTGTTTTTATGAATACGAGTATCATTAGGATAATTAGTATTATCATTATTATTATTATGATTATTATTATTGTATTTGACTCTTATTATTATTATTACTGCTGATTTTATTGATATTATCAGCATCATTATTGTTACTAGTGCATATTGCAGAGTTGGCATAGCTGCAAACGGTTTTCGATTTTTCTCATAATGGATGCCCACCTTTGATGACGCTATCGATCGGGGGGCCCTGCTATTAGTGAGGGCCCCTGCTATGAGTGGGGACCCCTTTTGACATATTTTCCCATTGCTGGGCCCACTGAGCGACCATACTCCAAAAGTGTGAATTCCTAGTTGGGCGGTTTGAAACAGCAAGTCAGGGGCTTTCTGGGTCCAAAAAAAAAGGGCAACCGGCTTTCCGGGGTTTCTCGGTTGGGTTTTCCTTTGATCATCCCAAAGCCCCTCGGCTCCCTCGGTCCCCTCGGCTTCCCCAAAACGGGCAGCAGGTCGGACCGGCTCGGAGCCGACCGAAGCGCGCAGGCGCCTCGGTGTGCACGGAGGCGGCGCAGGTGTCCTTTGGCCTCGCGGCGGCGGCCAACCGAAAGGCGGGAGACCGGGGGACGACGGCGGCGGAGGTGGAGGCAGCTGTGGAGATCCAAAGGTCTGCCACCCTCCCAATCTTTGGAAAAGGGTTATCCTATTTTCTGTCATCCAAGGGTTATCCTTTTGTGTGTTGAGAGGGTTCCACTTTTGGGCTTCCCTGAAGGCAGGTTCAGACCAAGAGGTGACCAAAAGGAGAACTCCTGCGTTTAACTCGTGCTTGGGGTCAAAAAGTGGAACGCTGACATGGTATGGCCAGCAAGAAAGCCCAAGAAGGGATGACATTACCACGAAATGGGGGAAGGTTACCCAGGGTGATGTGGCAGCCAGGATTTTTGACCAGCCCTCAATTCGTATGCGGGACATGGGCATTGATTCCTTTCTTGGTTGTTGTTTTTTTTGTTATTGTTAAAACTCATGTTCCTTCTCATGAGCATGTTTTTTTGTTTTGTCAGGGGCCCTTTGGTGACATTATCTAGGTCCCCCAGCAGTGCCCATTTACCCCTTTTTTGGGGAGGGTTCCCCTACTCAAATAGTCTACAGCAAAAAATCGGGCACCCTGATTCAAACCTCTCTACTGGAGTACCTAGTTATGTTGCGTGATTCTCCAGCCACCTTTGCGGGAAGGCAATCCATCGACAGGAGATCATCGAGGACTTCATCGGCCGAGGCTTCAAGTTGGATTCCTGGGGCGGAAAGAAGGCGGGGACGGCTCCTTCCAAGGCCGGAAGGCTACAACGGCCCTCGTTTTCAAGGGCGCACGGTAATCACCTCCATGCACCTATGATGTATATGAACCTTGTTATTTGGCTCGGCTCATTTTCAGTGTGGTCTGTAAGAGAAGCTTGTTTCTGACATGGAAGGCATTGGGCGGGGATGGGGGCATTTTGGGGCTAGGCGGGCCGCTTAGGAGACACTCTCAGTTTTTGCGGCTTTCCAGTCGGGCCCTGCTGCGGAAATTGTTCTATGGCCATCCCCAAGTCCGGTTTGGATTGGAGGTTTGGGTGTTTGATCCTGCACGTCTGTCTGACTTGCTAAATGGGAAGCCTTTTGCCCTGCCAAAACATCTCCTCCAACTGCGAAACGACCCACTTCAATACCACAAAAAGCGCAAATCACCCATCAGGGGCACGCCGACCGTTGGTTCCCTTGCCTGAAAAACTGCGCCCTGGGGTCGGGGTCCGAAAGGGGCCGCAAATTGGTCTTGGGCAATGGTGAGCGCATGAATAAAGTTGTGATGTCTGTGTGTGGCCCAGAAAAAATAGCAAACTTAGTCGCAGGGATGAAACTCGGAAGGGTTGTGTTCCGACACCGTGTCTTTTGGTGGAAGTGATGTGGGGCCACGGGGTCAATCGGAGACTCCAACTTATGTTGAAATCATGCACTTTCGGGGTCCCCTAAAATGTATATTTTAGGGAACCGCCAAAGACACGCTGCGGCTTGCGCCCCACTTTCCACAACCGTCCCCCCCAAACCGGCAAGAAGTCTTGTTAGGCCCCTTGGATTCTTTTCGGGGTTTCCACAAGTTCCATCCTGCCAACAAAATGGTGAGCCACTTTCCTTCGGTTTCCCACCTGCAAAGGAAAGGGACCCCTTTCGCAGGCCGTGGTGGAAGCCGCGAGCCGCGGGTACCTGGAAGTGCTCCAGTCCTTGGCGCCTCGCTTCACGTTTGTGCGACCGGGGTGGGTTTCTGGGGAAAAGCAGGGGCCATCCTTGGTACCCCAACTAGGGCCCCCAGTAGTGCCCTTTCTCACCCGAGTCGCGGATGACGGATGACGGATCAGGGCGAAGGATCGATCCTCCTATTTTCGGCACCAAATTTCCAGGAGGGCCAGGGGGCTTGCTTACCCACCACCTGGACGGTCCCACTTAGGTCGTCGCTGCTTTCAGGCAAGGACCTCTCAATTTCATTTGTTCGATCCTCCAAAACGGAGGGGCAATGGCGGACCCATGGGTTGTTGACCTGTGCACCTTTGTGGTAAGATATTTGTAGCTAGTAATGCCCACAGGAAACCCCAAGTGGACGTATGTTTATTTGTCCGAACTTTCTGCTTGCCACCCAGTTTGGGGTCATTGAGCAACTGGGCATCATGTTGAAAGTTGGAAACGGGTGTGGTTCCACAGAGACTACCACCCTTTCAAAATCAATCGTGGAACCTGAAGGGAATCTTAATTGGTCCTAGCAGTTGTCCGGCTTTGAATTGTTTTCTGTTTGAACATCAGGGGGCTAGGTCCCTAGGTGCCAACTTTTACCCACTTTTTTGTTGGGAGGGTTCGGCTACTAAAATAGACTACAGAAAAAAGGGTACCCTTATTCTATCCTCTCTACTGGAGCCTTTTCAGCTGGCTGGGCAGTTCAACGTAGAGTGTTGCCCAATACTCCCGATGGGCAGTTTCCCGGCTTCCCTTAGGCAATAGCTGGTGGACATGAATTCAAGGAGTTTTGTAGCCATGATCGAATCATCCCTGCTTAGGGGTTCTGATCGGCTTCTGAAAACCTTTCTGGGGGGGGTTGGAAAACGGTGTCATCTCGTTTCATACAATGCTTCCATTTGCTTAAGAATAATTTTAATTTTCCCTTGTTGGTTTTAAATGGAATTTATCACTACTGGAGTTGAAGTTTTTTCCAGGGGTCTTAACCAAATGGAAGAATGGGGAGACTCCCAACCCAGATTGAGGCACCTAACCGCCGCGTCTTACACCCCAGGTCTCCTACGGCGCGGATCTCTCCTCCTGGGCATCTTGGCGATAGACAACTTAGGGGGCCAGCGGAGTGGCCCAGGGGCAACCTTTGGAGCAAACAGTCGGCTGATTTCTGCGGGTTTTTGGATTTATGACTTATGTTCTTTGTTTTTTTTGCGCGCTTCTGGTGGGCGACCCTTGTTGTAGCGTTTGTGTTGAGCACCTCACGCGGGGTTCGGACGGGCAGGTAGGAAAGCGGGCTGGAACCCTTGTTAGGGATCGAGGACTTGAGCAACTCGACAAAAACACGCGTTGCCGTTGTCAAAGCAAGCCTAATGCCGTGGATTGCAAAAGATCGGCCATATGCCGTTGATATTTCAATACCTTGGGTGCTGTCGAGTTCATTGGAACCCACAGCACCTGGAACAAAGCTTGAAGGACAAATCCAGCTACCCCCGTTTACTCCAAGCAGCTCAAGCACTTGCATGGATGAGTTGCCGAATTTCTGCGGCAAATGGCAACCTGCTGGACTTCGTGACTTGCCAATCTTCATCGGACTGAGCCAGGGTCCATGTCACATTCGTAAGTTGCTGACCAACATAGCTTGCAAACACTGTAAACACAGACACACACACACACAGGTACGTAGGTACAGATACACACTGCTATGAGCAATACACACTTCTATTATTCCTGTACACACACACACACACATACCTTGGTTTGTATGCGTATAATATGTGTGCTTACATTGTATTCACAAACATGTATGTTTGTGTGCACCATGTCTATATGTGTTTATTTCTAGATATGCTCGCCCTGCTCTTCCCACCATTCAGGCCAGGGGTGGGGTGACACTATGTGCATGTAGACGGACAGACAGACAGGCAGGCAGGCAGACAGACAGACAGAGACATACCTAGCTAGCTACATGCCTACCTACTTACATACATGCATGAATACATACATACATACATACATACATACATACATACATACATACATACATACATACATACATACATACATACATACCTACCTACCTACCTACCTACCTACCTACCTACATCTGTGACGAGGTCCCTACAGTCATACAGCCCCGGGCTTGCCGGCGCAAGGCTGGGGATCAATCGCTGCAGAAGGCCACTGAGAAGGAGCACGGGGAGGCTGGGCCCTGGGCCTGTCGTAGGGTATCACTTGGGGTCTCCTCCAAACATATCTTCTGGGTCGGGAGGGTTCGGCTACTAAAATAGACTACAGAAATAGGGTAACCTTATTCTAACCTCTCTACTGGAGGACCTAGTCTTGCTGGTGCGAGATGCAGGGCATGAGGGAAGGTTCATTCCCTCATTCCCTAAAACCTTGTGCAAGAGTCTCACTGACCGAAGAATTTCGACCGATTCCGACCTGTGAATTTTGCAGTTTTAGTCGCCTTGCTTCAGTCCTGGCCGTTTCGGTGACCAGCCAGAAGTTGCCACTGGAAGAACGTTTGACCCCTTCCGCTGTACGGCCCCCTGCTCCGAATGTGTGTCTAAGGATTCCACAGGAACGTCTCAAGGAGATGATTAAAATACCCACCAGATCTGGGTGCCAAATAGAAGATGCACAAAATTCAAAACCTGTGTTCCCCTGCACACTTGTTGGGCTGTGAAAGATGACCGAATCCCAAAGAGTCGAAAGTTGGCTTCTTCGGTTTCCTTCTGTTTCCCAAAGGAGGTAATGCCACATTCGCCTTCCATCGGTTTTGTGCTCAATTGTGTGGGATTTGCCTAAATCCCGCTACGCAAGGAGCAGAAAACAAGGGCTTTCGGAACCACCGCAGGTTTCGTTTTTCTTTTCTCTACTAATGCCGTTGTTCTGTTCCGATGGGTGGAAGAGGATTGGTTTCCTGACGACCAGAGCTGGCAGACATTTTTCCCAGGACCTTTTAGAAGACCAAGCAGGTTTCGAGGAGTGTTTGTCCAGTTTCTCCAGTTTGCTCCTTGAGGTCATGCGTTTCCTGGTGGAGAAGGGCGTGGACGTGACAGGGGACCTGGGAGACCAAGTCCTGGAGTCAGCAGTTTGGGGCCCCAGGGCTGGCTGCTTTTCTTCTTTTGCCCTGTAAGCCAACCCCAAAAAGGGTTTCTCACAAAAGACACTCCATGGTTACATGTGAACAGGGCTTTTCACTTGCAACCATGCCTATAACCTTGCCCGCGGAATTCTTGGGACGGAATTCTGCAGGATCAAACGTCCATTTGTCCGTAAGGTTTCATCCAGGTGAAGAATTTGTCCATCCCACAGCATGTTTCTGGGTGCGATCGATCGCCCATATGTGAAAGGGAGCCCCGGAAAAAGAGAGAGACAAAAACACAGAATAACCCTTGATTTTTTCCAGAGCCCAGAAACACAAGTGTCCTCACAAACCGGGTCCAGACATGATGACTTTTGGCACATCCCAACTCACACGCCGAGTGAAGCATGTGGTGCCGATCGAACAAAGTCCATGCCCTGGCCAAGAGAAGATCTGAACCAGCGTCTGGCGCAGGTGTGCCCTTTTTTGATGTCTTTTGGCCTCCAAAAAAGAAACCAAAAGGGAATTGATTACTGTGATTACTGTTTGTTGTTTTCAGACCCCCTGTTTATCACCGGGTTGGCTCCCCTACGAGTTGCCAGATTTTTAACTCTGCCACGCAGCGTGCAGTCGATCACATCAGGCGGCGCGGAACGACGTGCTTCTGCTGCAGCTGCTGCTGGACAAGGCGTCCTAAACTTGATGAGCAGGGAGTGAGGGAATGACCCCATATAACCCATCCTCCATGGTTTTTTTTAAAATGGAATCCCGTAGGTTCATTACCAACACCCGGAACGGTTATTCCGTACTTAGCACCAGCCAGTAAACTTAGGCACCCTTGTTTTGGGTGTTCATCGGGCAACAAAGCTCCCCTACTTGGTGCTTGTGTGATGCTCAATCTTTCACCGCCATGATAGTTTGGTTGACCATGGATTGTGCTGGTTTCAGATCATGTAGCAGTGGACGCCTAGGGTCATATTTGCCTGCTGCTTGGTTTCACAGACCTTTGGAGGAGGAAACATGAACCAGACGTACCGAATGAGTACAAGGAAGACAGGACTGACATCCCCAGTTCATGGTGGCAGACCACACGGACCAAATTAGCAGCAAATGGCGGGTACTCACTAGATTCTTGTGAACATATGCATTCTGGCTTGATGGGATATGCTGCAATCCTGTAACATCGGTTTGTTTGTTTCCAACATGAAGTTGCAAAGCAATTGAGCCATCACGCAATGCTTCAAGTCACCGCAACAATGATCGTTGTGGGTAAATCTTATTTCAACCGCACAAAGGGAAGCTTCAGCAGGGAGCCCCCCTTTTTGCGTTTGCGTCTTGTTTCATACATCACCCCCAATCAATCGATACCCTTGGATTCATTTTCGGCACCCTTTGCCTTCCCGAGCTGCAAGTTTCGATTCGAAATCGTGGTTTGTCCGCTTCGGTGGCACCCTTTGTCGCTGGGTTCCCTTCTAAAAGTGGCCAGCCTCCAGAAGGCGTCCGTTTTCAAGCCCAGGTCGACTGGGCAAGTGGGGTTGTTACCAAAGGACAGTTTGAGTGCCAGGGGCAACGCGTCATGTTCTGATGCCCAACTGATTGCTGCAGCAGTTTGCAGTTTGCAGTGTTGTTTAGTTCAATCGTAGCCAATCTGAGCAAAACAGGTGAACATCGATCCCGCATAACTCAACCTGCAAGTGAGCCTGATTCTGCCTACACCCCCTGGTCACAAGCCATGAAAGGTTGATTCAATCAATTATGTTCCCATTGGGCACCCACCCCACCCACCCACCCCACCCACCACCCCACCCACCCCGCCCACCCACCCCTCCCTTTTTCTATCTCCCAGACCTGTTTATTTGTTTCTTCTTTTCTTACCCCCCCCCCCCCGGCAGAATCGTTGCCTCAGCCACAGTTCCCAGCCGCCAATTTTTCGGCCCGCCTTCTTTGGCGCCAAAAGGAAAAATGCTTAAAAAGAGCCCCTGCCAACAAGACTCCGCCGGACACCTTGCGGTTTCCGGGGTCCAACTCCGGGGCTTCTGCCAGGGCGCCCAAGTCGGGTGGTCCGGCGCCCGCGCCCTGACGGCGGCGGCCAGGTGCAAGAGCTGGGAGGCCGATCGGTGCCGGTGCGGAAAGATCCACGGGGGACATGTGGAGGATTTCTCGTTGGAGCGCTTTTGGAGAGGTCTCGGTGATTTGAGGTTTTTCCCCTTGAAGATTCGTAGGCTGGGTTTGAGAGAGTCGCTGCAATCTCGCCTGGATCTGGTTTGGGGGAGTTTCTCGTTTTGTACATTTCTTGAGATGCACAGAAGTTGCTTGCAGCACCAAACACCATGTTTGGGGAGTCAGTCGCAGTTTGGTTTTCGGCCGATCCGGGGATTCGAACCGCCAGGCGGTTCACTTCCTGATCCTTGCGGAGGTGGACTTGACGGAGTGGGCTGGGCCGCTTCGCAAGGATCGTGACTGACCTCGCAGGGCATTTGAGGAGTTCGCCTGGCGGCCAAAGGACCTCTTTCAATCTTGGCAACCTGATGATCTGTCAAGTAAATCAACACTTGTTGATGAGGTATGCGGTTCTGTTGAGGTTTGCCTTTGAACTTTGACAATTTTGCTTTCCTTCCGCTGGGCATGCAGCTCAGCTGATTTGCTGTTTGCTTAGTTGACTGCCTGGCTGTCTACCTGGCTTGGCTGGGAAAAACGCTTCGGTTGCTTGGTTTGTGGCGGCGCAACCCAAAACTCGCCAGCACCTGAACCGCCCATGCCGGGCCTTGCAGGCCTGAAGCTCCAGGAAAAGTCGCGGTTGGTCGCAAAGATTTTTTTTGCGAGCAATAGCCCCAGCCACTGAGCCGGCTTGAAACCAGCGCCACGCAACGCAACCTGCAGCTGATACCTGGCTTAAAGTGGCAGAGAGCTTGCAAATGACGGCACGAGGGGAATGTGCGAAGCTGGGTAGTGTTGGAGGGGAATCCATTTTCGGAGCCAAGAGATGCCTCCAAGTGACTTTCCGTTGCCATGGTGGGTTGCCAGGGTGGGGCCAACCTGAAAAACAAGTTGCAACCACACTTGCTGAAAGGAACTCTTCTTGGCTTCCCCTAGGTGACGAAGCATGGGTCTGTCTATTGAGTCCCCTGCATCACAGAGCATCGCCCTTGGCCCCTTGGCCCCTTGGCCTCTTGGCCGAGGCAAGTTGTGCTTCTTGCAGCGCTGGAGGCCAGGCTGAAAAACCAAAACAAACTGAGCTTCTGACAAGCACGGCGGTTGGTGGCACCCTCTGCCTGGATGGATGAAACTCACTATTTATATTGGTTGAACTTCACTTGGTTCATTGGGATCTCCCACTTTGAGCCACCATATTTTGCTTGGTCTGAGGGAGATGCATGTGTGGTGCGACATACTTGAACCTCCAAAATGGGATGGTTTCCACATTGGTATCATGCAGCCCCAAGCCCTACAGGAAACTGAAACCATGGTTTGCTTACAAGCAAAGAAAAAAAGCCTCACCACAGAGGACTAACTCCGATCTTGGCTTCTTGGTAACTTACAGTTGAATGTTGGTGTAAATCAGGGAGGGGACCCCATGCCAGAGAGCGGAATGCTGCAGCAAAGGAGACCACTTGAGAATACCTGGCCGGACTTGTCAGGGCAAACATCAAGTGGCTGGCTTTCCAGGTTGCGCAACTGAGGTGCAAATGGGCCAGTTTGGGGGAGGTTCCAAGCACCAGCCAGTCAAACGACACGATTCAAGCATGTGTAACTTGGACGTGCCCCAGCCAGACCCTTAAAATTCGGCTCTTTTTCGAGGTTGGCGAAAAAACGCAAGGGATCAAATAAACCACTACTAAGATGAGCAAGGGCTTGAATTGCTTGAATCGCCTTTCCCCCGAAGTGTTCCCAGGTTCAAAAACTGATCAGCTTTGAATTTCCAGGTCGTATTGTTCATGGGGTAATTTGTTAATGTTGAAACGCATGTGGAAACATGAACTGTGTGTGGAATGCTTGACCACAATGGCATGTGCCATTTTGGCTCAAGCATTGTTCTGGGTTCCTGGAACCCAAGCTGATTGAAAAACTTTGATCTTTTGCATTTTCGAACTTAACCCCGACCAAGCAATGGCTTCCTCGGCAACCTCGGCAACTTCCTTTGAGTTGATTGAGGACCAGACACTCACCGTGGAGGAGGTTGAAATGGCCAGCCAGGAGGCCCAGGACATTCGCACACGGGAGGCGGCAGTGGCGGCCGGCTTGGTTTTGGACGAGCCCGAGGCCCCCCCGTCAGCTTCGGCGACCGATGTGATGAAGGACCTCTCCAGTGCACTGGAGCGTCTCCGAGTGGCATTTGCCACACCGACTCCCGGCTTGGGTGCCCCTGGCCCCGCCGAGGAGGGCGACAAGGACATGGGGGATGCGGACGGCACGGAGCGGGCCACACCACCGGACTGAAGGGCAGAAGGCTACGTCTCAGGCCAACAAACCTGTCACCTTGGTGCCGGTGGACGGAAAACCCGGGTACTTCAAGCTGGTGGACCTCCCAGACCTGTTTCCAGTTCCAGCGTCGGCGGCCACCTTGCTGAGAGACATCACGATGGAGGAGGCGGTCTCCCTGTTTCACAAGTTTGTTGGGAAGAACCTCACGGAGGACCTGGTGATCCGCATCTTGGAGGCGTACGTCCCGATGAAGATCCAGCTCCGCCAGGAGGAGGTCTGGGCTTCGCAGTTCCAGAGGAACAGGCGTGTATCGGCACCCAGCGCATGCACAGGCTCGACGCAGGTCATTCCGACTACAAGTTCATGTGCAAGGCATGCGGAACGGGGTGGCCAGAGGCAGCCAAGCAGTGCTGGGTCTGCCCCGGCAAGGAGTTCGCCCCCTTCCAGGCACCCTCGGCCACCTATGAGGCGGACGGCATCACCTACAACCTGCTCATCTTGGAGGGCAAGCCGACCTGGATCCAGCAGCGGGAATGGGGAAGCCTGGGTGCCGTTGGCCCCGGTGGTACCCTGGCACAGGCCGACCGCAACTTGGTGGACGGCACGGTCTTGGGGAGAGCCCCTCCAAAAACGGACTCGGCGGATGAGATCACCATGGCAGATGCGGTCCCGCTTAACAGGCGGCAGGAGATCCTGTCCATGGAGGCGGACGACGAGGCGTTGAAGGTCCGGGAAAGCCAGGAGATCAAGGTCAAAGTGCAGCGGTCCCTGAAGGAGGCGGAGGCTCAGCTCTACCATCCCCAGGTGGACCAGGCGATCAGGAAGAAGGAGGAGCTGCATAAGGCCTTGCGGGAGCAGCGGGAACCGACTCCGGAGGAGGCCTCGGCCAGGCGGCGGCACAAGGAGTTGGTCACTGAGGAGATGCTGGACAACGAGATGGCGATCCTGGCGCCCCTCCAGGAGGGCATGCAGACCCTGCCGTCAGATGAGGTGGCCAACGAGGGAGCCCGTGCCCTCAGGAAGGTCAACCTGGAGTGTTTCAAGGCCAAGCTGAGAGACCAGTACTTGGAGAGCCAGGCATTGGCTGAGGCGATGGGCTCCATTCAGGAGGCTCAGGCGGCAAACAAGCGAATCCAGGACACCAACCAGGCATGGATGCTCAACCACACTCTCAAGCCCTTGGAAGTGTCGGCGTGGCCGGATGATCTCAGGAAGGCCCTGGAGAGGGGCCTATTCTGCCCCCTGGAGCTGGATGACCCCGACGACATCCCCCCGATGGGGGACATCAAGGAGAAGTATGTCCCCTACATCAAGATGCTCAGAGCGTCGCAGAACCCGTGGCACCAGGAGGCACTGCTGGAGGAGATGCCCGAGCTGGAGGCACCGGCCCCCCCCAAGGGTGCCACCGGCCCTGGGGGGGACCAGCCCATGTCCCAGCAAGACCTGGACGCTGAGGAAGGCAAGCTGTCCCTTATCCTCTGGGCAATGAAGCGGCACCAGGGAGAGCTCCGGATGTTTGGGGGGGTTTGGAAGAAGCACGCAAGCGGTGAGATCCCCCGGGGCGCTGACCAGCAGTTCAAGCTCGCGCCGGAGGGGCTCCTCACGTGCGAGCAGGACCACATCGACCCAGTCATCTACACGGCCTTGGAGATCCGAGCTCAGGTGGAGCAGGTGGTTGGTATCTTCTGGGCGAAGGGTGATGGGGTGTTCTGGACCAGACAGACGAGAACGTGGGACCTGCCGAGCCTGACGGGAGTGTACGCCCACACACAGGTTCACATTTAAGTATATCTACTCGGCCTGGACCACCTTCCCGTTGATTGTTAAGACGCAACGCCGGGGCCGCAATGCGGAGGGCTCGACCTCGGACAAGTGGATGGGCAACATTATCCAGATGAGGAAGGAGGCGGTGCCCTTCCTGGAGTGCCTGGGCATCCCCAAGCCGCGCAGCAAGGAGGAGTGGAGTTACATCTTCAAGGAGATGGGGACATTCTTGGCGGCAAAGAATTTCATCGTGAACTGCCCGTTGCCCGTGATGGAGATGCCGGTGGCCCCCATCCATGACAGTAAGGAGGCGATGCGGTTCAGGGCAATTTGCGACGACCCTCCCGCTGGCCTCGCTGAAGGCCTTCGACTCGGTCTACACCAAGTTGGTGGCGGGCCTGAGCAAGTCGTCGATGGTGGAGGTGAAGGTCAATTGGCGCTGCAATGTGGTCCACGACTGGGTCGAGCAGGTCCCGCAGGAGGCGGCGGGGGCCTTGTATGACAGGTTGGGCTACTCCCAGGACCTCATCCGGCAGCTGGGTTGCTCCCCCCCCTTGGGTGCCGTTGGCCCCGGGGGGGAGCGGCCAAGGAGGCGGACCCAAAGGCCAAGGTCCTGGGGGGGGCAGACACCACGCTCCGCACCCCAGATCAGGGCACCAGGCGGTACCCGCCCATCACCACGGCCACGGTCACGGCGGTTGCGGGCCGAAAGTACGTCAACAAGCACTTCCCCAAGGAGGCGAAGCACGTGTTTTGGGGCTCCGTGGAGTGTGGCTTGGTCTTGCCAAGCATCAGTGCCTGGGAAGTGGTGAGCAAGGAAAAGTTCAAGACCACGGGGGGCTATATGTGCAGATTTTGCAAGGGCTTCTGGAAGGCGAGCCGCGGGGGGACCAGGCTGCTCCAGATCACGGGGTGGCACAGGGATAAGGCCACCTGCTTGCAGTTGGTGATGGACGAGCCCCCGGAGCAGCTGTACAATCAGTGGATCCGCGATCGGATGGAGTTCTACAAGAGGGTGGAGCCAACGGAGCCTCCCAGGGATGAGCGGCTGGTCCTGGGCGACGCGAGCACCCCCCGCATGCGCTTCAGCTCCTCGAACGGCCTGGGGGATGTCTCCACGGCCTTGTGGTCGGTCATCCTGAGCAACCCGGAGAAGTCGGGGCTGGCGGCAATCCACTCGGTGGCGAAGGAGGCGATCCTGAAGGGAGGGAGCCGCGAGGTTTTGTCTCACAACCCTGTCGAATGTGGGAGTCGTGTGATTTCTTCCTCCCGGGACTTCGGTGCCTTTGGCCCCGTCTCCGGGGGGTGGAGGGGGAAAGGGTTTTCCTTATTGGGTTCGGTTTTCACCACTGTTTCCTCTCTTATTCCATTCTGGTGGCGCACGTGGGTTCTTCTGGTTGCATGGCAGGGCAGCCACGTCACGGCAGCTTGATCTCCTCGACCATGAGGCCACAGGCATTAGCTGCCCCAAGGACGGGCCATCTCAGCCACGGTTCGGAAAAAGTGGCTGCGGCCGACTCTTGGTTCCCTTGAGGTCCCCTTGGGGTTTTGGGGAATCCCCCGCCTGGTCGGTCTCCCCCCTCCGTGCTTTTGGGGGGTTTCTGGGGGGTTGATTTTGGGTCGCGCTCCCCCCTTTCCCGGTTAAAATCTCGAAACTTTGGGGGGGACTTGTCGGGATGCGTGTGGCCTGCCTGCTCCATCTGCACTCTGCATTCTGCAAGGTTGGAGCATGCATGCATTGTGCCGCGGTTGGTCATCCACGTGGAGGAGTACCCGTGGGCATTCAAGGATGGGGGTCCCAAGCGGAGGATTGCGGCTCTGGAAATGCTGGGCACGCTCTTCCTCTGTAACATGATCCTCACGCACCAAGGCCCTCTGTCCTCCCGGGTCCGACTCCCGGTGGGCAGTGACAATCAGGGCAACGTCATGGCGATGCTCAACCTTGGATCCAAGAAGCCCTACACCGCGGCTATCCTGATGGAGCTGGTCTTCCTGCTCCACACCCATGGCTGCTCGCTGGCGGCCAACCACGTGCCCCGGGAATTCAACCAGTGGGCCGATGAGCTGACGCACCCAGATTTCGCTGGGTTCGACCCTTTGCACAGAGTCCCTAAACAGGAACTCTGCGAGGAGTTCATTTTTCTCCCGCGTCTCCTGAATGGAGATGCATTTGATCTTAGCGTGGGCCCACCCATGCTCCCGTGACCGGAGCCGGTGGGTGACTCACTTCCCCTGGTGGCAGACCCCCCTGTGGCCTGGGTGCCCCGGGCCCCGGCCCAGGGGCGGGCGCTATCAGTCTGCACACCCGTTCTTCAGTTTTTGAGAGTTTGTGGTGGGTGGCCCATGGGGCCCACCCAGCCGTAGACATCTGACAGGGGAAGATGAGTCCCTGGCACCAACACATTGCTTGGATAAAAGAGTTATCGCTTGCTTGTGTGGTGCCGTTTGGTTACATACACTTAAGGTAACAAACTGACCAAGGCCTGACCCCTCCAGGTTGTTTTCCTTTGGTTTCCCTTCGAGTTCCCTGCAAGTGAGGAGTTTGGTCGACCTGCCAGGCCCAGAATCTCTCCATTCTCCGAGTCCTGGAGGAAAATGGCCTGGACATCTCCTCCGAGACTTGGCACGAGCGCGCAGAAAAGAGCAAGCTTCTGGCTGTAATTACTCCATGTGGGTGGACGAAATCTGCACATGTTACTTTTGGTGCACCCTGTTGGGAGAAAAATCAATTCTTAATCCTGATGCCAGATAGTGGTGGTCTCCCTTGTGGTGGTGTCGGACCCCATTCCGAACAGCAATCTGCGTGGAGGGCCCAAATGCGGGTCCTTTTGGGAGTGGGTACCCTTTGCGCTGCGTTTTCAACATCAGGGAGCCAGAGGAACACCGCCCAGGTTTGGAGGGGGGGGTTCAAACATGGGTGAAAAGGCGACCAAAAGGAAACCAGCTTCAGGAAAATCTCGAGATTTGGAGAACCTACTGGAATTGGCTCATGAGTCCTTCACTTGACCATGTCAAGATTGTAGGACATCTCCATGACATCATAGCTAGCCAAAAGCCACTCCGTGTGTTTATTTTGGGGCTTGCGCAAGCATGTGGACTGTGCTTCTCGGGGGTTTGCCCTCGTTCTTGAAATGATGGAATTGGACCGGGGACCTCCATGAGATGATGTTAGTCGTTCAAAACTTGTGTGTGCGTGTACTTCCACAATTCTTGAGCGGAGGGTAAAGGGTTTGCAGGGTTTGAAGCTATGTTGAGCCCTCCCAGTGCTTCCAGTTCCCATTGTAGGTAAAATAGGGGAAGCCATCATGTAAAACTGTGACCTGTAGGTAACAATAACAGGCTATCTGCTTTTGGTAACTGGTCGCGCTAACCACGCCAAATTGGAAACGACCAGCGGTTGGGAAGGGCCGAGTCAGACCGTGCAGAGGAGCGGTCGCAGATCACGCTGGGGCAGGCTGACCTGCCGTTTTATGGTGAGCTCACCGATTCGGGGGCAACATGAGCTCACCAGAAAGTACACCCTTTACTGTGGGATCCCTCATTTCAGGCGTTGGCATCATTGTAAACAACTGCAGCCAACTAGTTGCCTCTTTCTCTATGGGACACTCCTCCATTTATCAACCAAGGATTCATCAGGGAAACTCACTAAATTTCCCATCCTGTCCCTTAACAAGAAGGATAATGATCAAATGATTGAACAACTAGCCAGCATCCCCGATTTGAGAGGAGCATGGGGAAACTCACAAAAAATCCCACAAGAACCACAGTGCCACCTATTTTCGCCCTTTTTCAAGTGGGTGAAGCAATCATTTGCTGATAAGGCCGATGATGCATGCTCTTGGCGGTATCATATCATGTTTTGGCAACCCCCCGCCCCCCCCCCAGTCCAATGGACACCCCCCATCGGCCCTCAGTGCTGCCCCCGGTCAGGCCTCAGGGGATCTGGGGGTAAAAAAACTTGCTTGGGGAGACTCGGTGATCTCAGAGGGTCATGCTTCAATTTTAGGCACGCATCGCCTTTTGGCTATGATCGCTTGAACAACTCCTCTTTGGGGACATTGGATCGCACGTCGACGAGCTCACGAAGATCCCGATTGATCGGGTTCATGTTTGTTTTAGGTTTGCGCGACTGGGGGGTATGTGTGACTGTCTGGATTTGGACCCTCCCAACCTGGGCGGATTTTAATGTGAGGTCCCTAAACCAAGCCTTGAAAGGTGTCAGGCTGCTGCCGGAGCAAACAAAAAAAAATCAGCCCTGGCAGCAAGTGATCAAATGGCCGGGCGTCCCTCAAGAAGAACACCTCCGGCTCGGGCGAAAAACGCTCAGCCGTCAGGTGGCCATCGCCCCCAAGGTGCGGAAGTTGCTGGATGAGATGCAGCGGCGCAGCCGCTCGAGCGGCGAGTGAGCTGAAGACGTGGCGCCTTTTGTTTCAGCAGCCTCCCTTTTGGCTGCCCTTGAAAGGGGGTCAACACTAAACCCTAAACCTTTTTTTTGCCCTGCGTCCGGACGAGAAGATTGAGGGCTTAGGGTTTAGGTTTTGTAAGGCCCATGTTTGCCATGAAATGACAGTTGAGCCAGAAAACCACCTCGGGCGCAGCAGGCAGGCCCAGCGTAGTGCAGCTTTCAGCAGGTTTTTGCCTATTCCTGAAAATAAATTTCACCTAGACTTCTACTTTGCGGTTGTCCACTGGCGCCTCAGCAGGCCTAAAATTTGATCATTAGATCCTTTTCTACTCCTTGCTTGGTGCTTACCTTTGAGGTAAAAGGAATCTTCTAGTGCAAGGTTTGGTTGAGCCGAACCATTTGGATTTGAGGACGGCTCACCCCAAAGGGGTTCGCAACCTTGCCCGTGACAATTCCTCTCTTAAAGGTCGGGGGATTGATAGAATTCACATATCTTGGTGGAACCAAGATTGCGTTTAGGGCACTGCTTATTGTGGGGTGTAAGTCCAATCTATGAAATAACTAACACACGAGCCACTGTATCATATGTGCTTTTATCTATTGAATTTCTTTGAGTGGTTTTGATTGCGACTCGCCTGAACCAGAGTGGAGGACCAACAGATGCCAACCGTGAACGGTTTGGTTTACTTTTCTTTTTCACGACCTGCGGGGCAGCCAAAGTTTGCAAGACCCAACCAGAATCAACAAGACCCCAAGCTGCCTTTTGGCAGTTAGTTAAGAAGACGTCAGCAGGAAGCCCCTCGCCATTTCGAGGGGTCTCCCCGCGCTTCTCCCTCAAAAAACCCCTCAGTGGCTCAAAAAACCGGTACCAAGATGTGTTGCCCTGGTTTTCGTGGAAGCGATCGGTTCATTTTGAGCCATCGACACCTGGCTCCAACATCAGCTCTTTGACCGACCCCTCCTTACCCTGGTACCAGAAAAGGGTCGACGCCCAGCGGGTGGGTTCTCTTCAGCGAGGCACTCAGCGCAACGCCGCCGCCGCGGCGCAGCTGCTCGCCTCCCACGCGACCCATCGGCGCCTGCGGAAGGATCTGCCGGAGCCGCCGCGGGGGCCGGCCCAGGCGCCGGGGGTGGCTGGGGGGGGAAGGGGGGGGTGCTGGGCAGCGTGGAGGCTTGGTACATGGGGGTTGATCAATCTTCCTGGCCACAACATGATCATGGTCAACTTTTCCCATTTCGTGGGACACATCAAATCTTTTTTGTGGTTTCCCGAATGGTCATCTTATTTTAAGGACCTTTGGATCAGATCAACTGATCAACCCCATCACCTGGGCGCGTGTCAAGGGGTTTGGACCCCCATGGGACTTCCCGGTTGATTCTTTTTGGGTGAAGGTAGAGTCCTTGCCAGACTTAGCTTGGCCCAATTCATGCAACGCACGCCAGCGGCGTTGGTTTTTCGTGTTGAGTGGAATTTCCCCTGTTCAGTGAAAGGGGTCCCTCTTTTTCCTGGCTCTGAGCTCTTAGAACCGCCCCTTGCTGTTAAAGGCTCAATGAGAACCCTTCGATTCCCTTCGAAACCCTTTGCTCAGAATCCCTTCTTTGAAGCTAAGAACCTGGATAGTCGGAAGGGGAGGGGCCTTTGAGTTCCAAGTAGGCGGTTGGCTCGGGTTTCCTCTGAAACTGGACGATCCACTTCTCCACCTCCGGAAGCGGCATATTCAAACAAAGCAAACAACGAATCGACCAGACAAAGCACAACACACCACGCATGGATGACGCTCGAGAGTTGCAAAGACACAAAGCGCGAATTGAGTAATGCATGAAACAGAAGCGCGGACACGACTCATACAAGAAACAACACAATTATGCGCACACACACACACTAAGTGGGCAGGGAGAAGGAGTTTACACCCTGTCCACAGTCTATATCGTGGTTGTTTACTGAAATTACATGCTTGTTTTTGGGAGCAGTGGACACCCTCTTAAAATCAAATGACAGGTCCGCAATCAACAGCCAAGTGGAACAAAGGAATCAAGGAACAATCCCATAAATATGCGCGGCCGCCCGGCAAATCCTTGAATAGTTTGGATACCAGGTTTCAAAGCAAGAAACAGGCGAACACACAGAGAACATCAACTAAACATTCAAAACACACGAACACAAACAACAAACAAAACCAAACCAAACCAAACCAAACTAAAACAAACCAAACCAAACTAAACCAAACCAAACCAACCAACCAATCAAACACACAAATAGATACACAAAGAAAACAACAACCAGAGAAACAAACAAGCAATCAAATATAGAACATAAAACCAACCAAAAAAACAAACAGGCAAACCAGTATTCAAACAACAGTATTCAAACAACGACACAAACAAACAAGTATACAACACAACACCAAACCACACCAAACTTTACCAAACCAACTAGCCAACCAAACTACCAAACACACAAACAGATATACAACACATCAAAACAACGAGAGAAGCGCAGACGCAATCAAACATAGACCATAAAAGTATCCAAACAAAGAAACAGGCAAACACATATTCAAGCAAACACAACCACACACACACACACAACAACAAGGATACAAACCAAACACAAAAAAACTTGAGCCATAAACAAACAAGTACGGCCCCTCCCAAACAAGCATACAACACAACACAACACCACACAACACCACACAACACCAAACCAAACCAAACCAAACCACACCACACCAAACCAAACCAAACCAAACCAAACCAAACCAAACCAAACCAAACCAAACTGAACCAATCCAATCCATCCATCCATCCATCCATCCATCCATCCATCCATCCAACCAACCAACCAACCAACCAGCCAGCCAGCCAGCCAGCCAGCCAGCCAGCCACCCATCCCAGCCCAGCCCAGCCCAGCCCAGCCCAGCCCAGCCCAGCCCAGCCCAGCCCAGCCCAGCCCAGCCCAGCCCAGCCCAGCCCAGCCCGCCCGCCAACCAGCCAGCCAGCCAGCCAACCAGCCAGCCACCACCCACCCACCCAACCAGCCAGCCACCCACCCACCCACCCACCCAACCAACCAACACCAACCAACCAACCAACCAACCAACCAACCAACCAAACCAACCAACCAACCAACCAACCAACCAACCAAGCCAACCAACCAACCAACCAACCAACCAACCAACCAACCAACCAACCAACCAACCAACCAACCAACCAACCAACCAACCAACCAACCAACCAACCAACCAACCAACCAACCAACCAACCAACCAACCAACCAACCAACCAACCAACCAACCAACCAACCAACCAACCAACCAAACAGATATACAACACAAAACCAAACCAGAGAAGCGAACAGAACTCCGTGGTCCGCGCCAAGGCGCCGCGTGACCCCTGGCTGCAGTTCGAGTCCCCGGCGGCGCGGCCTGCGGTGCCGCCGCGCGTGGCAGTGGCCCGCGCGCTGGCGCGGCACGTGGAGCAGTTGGACGAGCCGCGCGGACGCGCAAAAGACGACGTCGTCGGTTTGGGGGGTTGGGGGGGAGGTGTTTCAGGGGTCACGTCGGACACGTCACCGTTTCAAAAGGTTCATGTTTCATCATTCTCCTCCATATTTCCCTTTTTGGAGGTTGTAAACATCACCTTTTGGCCCGTGAAAGGAGAGTGCTCCGTGGTGGGGGTGATGTTTTGTTGGGGGCTGGACGGGAAGGAGGGGGGGGGTGGAGGGGGGGAGGGCGTGGTTTTGCTGGTAGAAAACCGCTTGAAGGTGGATACGTGAATTGTTTTTTCTTGGGGAGGGAGGGACGCCCAGGGTGGGAGGTCACGCCTTTAGTTTTTTGGGTGACCATCAACATGTGGGGCGGTCTTTTTCGGGGGCGGGCAGTTTTTGCCGGTGGCTTCCCTTGCCGCCAGCGCCGCGCTTTCGTGGCGGGGAGTCACAGAGCCTTCGGCAAGGAGAAACAACAGGCGGGTGGATTTAGGCTGACTTGCCAAGATGGACGGCTCACCAGCTGTGAGTTGCTTGATTTTGGTTGGCGCCTTCTTTCCCCCGTTTGCTTTGTTGCCGTTTTATCCCTGTTTTTGGTGTGTTGCTGTTTGCATTCGTATTGAGACATCAATGAAATGTTTGCCTGTTTTGATTTTGCTGGCAGGTTGTGATCGATATTGCGAGAACTGGACACTGGAAAACATGAGCAACAAATAGCGTCCTTTCCCTTTGACCTTTTGTTTTGCTTCTTGGAAGATCACTGCACCCGAGGCAACTGGATCCGTATTTACAGTTTTGTTGCAGGAGTTTTGTGGCTTCACTGGACTTTGTTGTTTGTCTTATTTGTGTCTTTATGTGGGTGTTTCGCAAATTAGGATGTCCCCTCGGTTGTATGGGCGGGGTCACTTCTATCATCTCCCCCCTTATTATTGGACATATGTGTGTGTACACACATATATATATATATATATGGTACCCCCCCCCCAAAGATCGACCATTTTCAGTGTTTTATCTCTGGTGACACATCCCAGAATCTGCAAGGTCTCGGGCTTCTGGCTTCCCACCTTCATCTTGCATCTGCCTTTTGGCTGCACAGGATGAACATGTTGAAAAAACCCGAAGAAATCAAAAAAATCAAAACAATCAGGGTCCTGGGAGAGAATGCCCAGGTCAGAATCTCGGAAAGTGAATAAACCTCGAAGAAATCAAAAATAAAAAACAAATCAAAAAAATCAAGGTCCTGGAACAGAACGCCCAGACCCAGTGACTATCTCTCTCAAGGCCTTGATTTTTTGATTTCTCGAGGTTTTTCACTTTTCCAGGTCAGAATCTCGGAAAGTGAATAAACCTCGAAGAAATCAAAAATAAAAAACAAATCAAAAAAATCAAGGTCCTGGAACAGAACGCCCAGACCCAGTGACTATCTCTCTCAAGGCCTTGATTTTTTTGTTTTTTTTTGTTTTTTTGATTTTCTCGAGGTTTTTCACTTTTCCAGGTCAGAATCTCGGAAAGTGAATAAACCTCGAAGAAATCAAAAAAAATCAAAAAATCAAGGTCCTGGAACAGAATGCCCAGACCCAGTGACTATCTGGATTTTTTTGATTTTTTTGTTTTTCTCGAGGTTTTTCACTTTTCCAGATTCTGACCTGGGCATTCTCTCCCAGGACCCTGATTTTTTTGATTTTTTTTTGATTTTTTGTTTTTTTTGATTTCTTCGAGGATTTTGTAGCTTCATGGGTTTCTTGCCCTTCGCCCCTGAGCATCTTCCTTGCAGTGTTGGAGCTTTGGCGTACAGAGCTGCAGTTTTGCAGCCCTGCCAAGTCTGTATTGCAACCAAGGCCTGCAGTGTTGGAACTCTTGTTGGAAATGCCTTGCTTGCCTGTAGTTTGGCAGCCTTGCCAGGGCAGCAGGGAAGCCTTCAGTGTTGAAACTTTGGCAGGTGATGCGCTCAAGTCTTGCAGTGGCCTTAGTGTTCAACTCTTGCCAAGTGGGTTGCAGTTTTGAGCTGGAACCCAGTTTGGCAGCTTGCTTGGGCAGTGTGCTGGAAGTGCCAGTTTGGTGGTGGAAGTCTTGTAGCAGGTGGCAAGAACCCTTGCCAGGGTATTGAAACTTGGCAGGTTGGCAGGTTGCAGTTTTTTGCAGCCTTGCCCTGCAGATTGGCAGCCTTGTTGGAAATTGTGGAATGTTGCGCTGGGCCAGCAACCAAGTTTTAAGCCTTCCTTGCAGTGCGGGAGCTTTGGCAGACAGAGCTCCCAAGTTTGTTTTGCAAACAGGCCTGTGTTGGAACTTCTGTTTGAACTCGCTTGTCTGTAGTTCAGTGTTGGTGCAGTTGGTTGGTTGCAGATTGGATTGGCAATTTTGCAACCTCCAGGTCTGTAGTTTGGCAGCCTTGCTTGGGAAGTCTTGCAGTGTTGAGTTAGCAAGAGTTTGTAGTTTGCAACCTTGCTCTGCAGTTTAGCAGACTGCTTGGCACTTGAAAAGCCTTGCAGTTGGGTGCGCCTGCAGTGTTGAAGCCTTGCAGTTTGGGTTTTGCAGCCTTATTTGTAGTTTGGCAGACCTTGCAGCAAGTGGGAAGCCTGCAGTGTTGAAACTTTGGCAGGTTGGCAAGGTTGGCAAGGGCTGTAGTTTTGCAACCCTGCAGTGTTGGAGCCCTTGCAGGTTGGCAATTTTGCAACCTTGCCAGGGCCCTGCAGTTTAGCAGACTTGCTTGGAAAGTCTTGCAGTGTTGGAGCTGGCCCTGCAGTGTTGGAACCTTGCAGGTTGGCAATTTTGCAACCTTGCCAGGTCTGTAGTTTGGCACCTTTAACTTTGCTTGGGCAGTGCTTTGGCAGGTTGGTAGGGGTTGCAGTTTTGCAAAGCCTTGCAGTGTTGGAGCTGAAGCCCTGCCAAGTCTGTTTTGCAACCAAAGCCTGCAGTGCCTGCAGTTTAGCAGACTTGCTTTGCCAGGTCTGTAGTTTGGCAGCTTTGCTTGGGCAGTGCCTTGGAAACTCTTGAAGTTTTGAAACTTCAGGTTGCCAGGGGCTGCAGTTTTGCAAAGCCTTGCAGTGTTGCAGCCCTGGCAGGTGCGCAAGTTTGCAACCGTCCTCAACAACACTGCACTTGAATGTCAGCCCCAGCATGTGCACATCTGTTACTTGCAATAATGCACTGCATCTTTCTCAAAACACAGAAAATGGTCGATCTTCGGGGGGGGGATAACATATATATATAGAAATACACATATATTTACGTGCATACACACACATACATATATATATGTATGCACATATATATATATATATGTATGTATATACACATATGACAGTGTATGTATAGTCGGCGAATTGGTTCAACTCATCATTAGCGCATTGTCGTGGGAACCAGCAATGGGTGTTCGATCCCATCCGGTTGGTTTTGTGAATGGCGGATGTCAAGGTTTGTTGGCAGCCCCAAACTGATCGCCCTTGTGTTGTTGTCCAACGGCCTTTGGTTGACGTTGCCGTGCTCACAATCACGTCCTTTCTTGGGGATATTTTCCTTTTGATGGTGAACAGGGTGTAAGAAGCAGAGAACAGTGCAAATGGGAGGACAAGAAGAGCCAGGGTTGGTCCGAGCTTTGATTGCCGAAACAACACGCAGAGTCCAAGCATAGCCGCCAGAAACAATAGCCCAGTTGCTCAGTGGCGCCTTCTGCTTGCGGGGCGGGGCCTTTCGAATCACAACAAAAGGGGGTGTCCATTCTTTCAAGAAGAGATCACTGGTTGCAAGGTAATCTTGACCCGCTATACATAAACCCCAGTTTACTACTGGGGTGTCCAACCAAATTTGGTGGCTGGAATCAGACCACTTTTGGAGGGGAACACCCCACCCCCCCTATAAAGAAACTGGGTTTTTTCTCAATATGGGGTCAACATTAACTCAGCCAGCCAGCGGACACACTTTACACTTTTTTCCTTGGTGGCTCTCCCCTTTTACTAGTGGAACGCCGCACGCTTAGTTGCACTGAGCGAGTCGCAAAGAAAGAAAGTGGTGGCCCAAAAAGTCGACACTTTTTGTTGGCTGGTCGCTGGCGAAGTGAGCTAACAACTTACACACCCCTCCATATCCTGAGGCATTGCCTTCTGGTGGCCAGACAGCTGGCAGGGCATCTGCTGGAGCTGGACTCCTGTACCGAACCTTGGCCGGTCTTGACTGAGAAAAGCCAAGGTCCTCGCTCTCCGGCAAATTGGTTTGGCCCCAAGAGAAATGGAAGGGGTGATTTTCCATTTGGGGACCTGGGTGTGTCCTTTTTGGAGGGTGTCCTCTCTTTTTTTTAAGATATCCAATGTCCTTCTTGTTGAGGGTTGGGTTTGGTGTTTTGAGCCCGTCCTTTGTGGGGTTTGGTTCAAAGTTTGGAGGTGTGGGCTTCCACGCCTCTCAAATCGATACCTGCGAACTTCACAGCGGATATCGAAGCTCCGATCACCTCTGCACCTGAAGATATTGAACCCACGGAGGACACGGCGGCGCGTGCCCTGGCGGAGCACTTGTTGCGCGTGGACGTCACCGCCCAGAAGTTGGAGGCGGACACGCAGCAGGTGGCAGCTCGGCCGAAATGAGATGTCCGCCATGCGCTTGGGGGGAGCGGAGGTGATAGGCGCCGTTTTGACCTCTTTGGGCGGCCCACGTGCGCCCTTAAAGGAAGCATGTTTGGAGGATTTTGTACTGAGAGTGGTGAGTGATGTGTGATAGGCCCAGACACATTGTGCCCCGTTTCCCGATTTTTGGGTTTGCGTGGGTTTCCCTTCAAAGTGAGGCAATCGAAAGGACAAGTCCTTTGACCTTTCCCAAGAGAAAGCTCCGGTTGCAAGCAGATGCTTATCCCGTGAAATACCCTGAACATTCTGTCCATGAACCACATTGCCCCCCTGCCGGTTTCAGTTTTAGGCTTTAGGGTTTAGGGGTGTCAAACTGTTGGCACGCGAGAAGTCTATATAACGGGGCGCCTGTCTGGCGCCCCTCATCACTCACTTCTCACGCGCGCCGTCCGGACCACCCAACACTAAAGCAGACAGGGCTTAGGGTCATCGGGCCCCAGAAGATGGCTGGTTCAAAAAGCTTCTTGTCGGCCTCCCTGCAAAAAGGGGTAACTGATGTGTCCAAAGCAAGGAAATTCCCGTTTAGATCGGCAAACGGTGAAATCATTGGGGGAATGGTTGGGTCAACCACTTTCTGCCAAGTTTTTTTTTTTTTCCCAACAGCTGAAAGCTTTGGGGTCTCAGCCCAGATAGGCTCCGGGGTGGTCCGGGGCGGCCCTGAGGTAAGGTTCCACGAGGGTTCCACCAGGGTTCCACCAGGGTTCCATCAGGGTTCCACCAGGGTTCCACGAGGGTTCCACGAGGTTCTGCGAGGGCTGAGGGGTGGTGCGAGCACTAAAACGAGCACCGCATGCTGTTGAAGATATCACCTGAGCTTATCAAGTTTTTTTGTTTAGCTCTCCGAAACGAAAAAGAGCTCTTGGAGATGGGAATTTCCTTCACGAGCCTCGCGGTAGCGCGTAGAAATGAGTGCGACTTCCCTGTCCAACCGCATATTTCCAGGATGGGAAAATCTCAAGCGTCGCGGTTTCACGCGTATGGAGCTTTGATCGCTGACAATGTGGGTGACCCTTTGTCAGTGCCCGCATCGGTTAAGCGCCACAAAGCGATTCTCGTGTCCCACAAAAGGGCGGTGATATCGCTATCCTCGCTATCACTCCTATCAACCAGGGAACAGAAGCCTTAACCACTCGCCGTTCCAGGAGATCCGAACCTGTTTGAAGTGGAACTATAGCGAGGCTAAGACAAAAGACAATTGCTTTCGGATCTCCGTTGCTTGTCCCAAAAAAGGTCCTTGTTGGTGGGTGCCGGGGATCAACAAATTCATCGCATCCTTTTTGCGGAGAGAGAGGTATATTAAATCAACACATGAGAAAACGGCACAACGCCAACACACATGCACAAATTGGCTTCACCAACATGGTTTCTGACTCTAAGCCATTCCGGGTTGCGTGGCTGGGAGCTCTCCCAGTTTTCTTGCTGGTGCGCAAGCAGGGAATGAGAAATGGAGTGCCCCCGAGAAAAACAGACAAAATCCAGCTTTTGTGGGTTCCTTTCGGGAATTTCCAGTTTCTCCTTCCCGGCCTCTTGCGCAGCGTAGGCGCTGGCCTTGGCGGAGCACGTCCTCACGGAGCTCGGAGCGCCGGACGCGCCGGAGACTCAGAGAGCTCGTGGAAAGGGGTAAATTCCATGGCGCTGCAAAGAAACGTTCTATATGTTTGCATTTTTTTGTAGTTTTCAATGTTTTCTTTTAAAAACAACAGTTTTTTTTTGAAATATTCAATTCATGTATTTGCCCCTGTTGGTTTTAAAAGGAATCTATCACCACTGGACCTATTTGATCAACAAAAGGCTCAAGAAACTAGAAGGTACTCATGGACAATATCCCAAAAGGAGGTGGATGAAACCCGGCAACTGGGACACACCACCCATACCAGCTGCCACTGTGGGGTACTACTAAGCCAAACACTCTCCTGATCGTGGGAGGTTCATGTTTGTTTTTTGAAGAAGTACATACAAGAGTGATTGAGTATGGCTTTGAAGCGCCCCACAACCCCATTCTGATAATCTAGCCCCTTGTCATTACTACCCAGCTATGTTCAGCGATGTTCTGGGCAGTTCGGATGGCACCGGAGAAGGGCCACTGGGCTGGGTGGGCTCCGTGGGGGTCCTTTTTTGTTTTTGTGTGTTTTTTTGTTTGCTTTTTCTCATTCCCATGACCCGATGTCAAGTTGATTGTTGGTTTGGGGATTTGAACACTTTATTCTTGGGTAGATGGGAAACCCCTTAACCACCAAACCACCAATCCAAAACACAAAAGGGAAGGAAGCTGACTATGACTACTTGTTACTTTGAGGGGCATTCCAACCCAGACCGTGGCAACCCAAAGTGAAGGATTTCCCAGATCGGGAGGCCACGACCTTTGGGCTTTCCCTTGGTCCGTTTGAAATCTCGAAGGGCGAACCTTTTTCTCATGGGGGCTGGGGGGAGGGAGGGGGGGGGGGAGGGAGGGGGGGGAGGGAGGGGAGCCCAAATAAGCCCTAAATCAGGCCTTATTCAGGGCTTAATAAGGGCTTCTTTGGGCCCATGACTTTCCACCTTGCCTTGAGGGGGGGTCCCCAGTTTCGGGAAGCCAGGCCAAAGACTTCCACTGGCACTTTGCCAGTATTTGGATCCATGAACGGGGCTAGGTTATGGCGAGCCGACAAAGAGTCAGGGGTAAAACGAGCTCACAAAGACTCAAGATGTAGGTCCTTTACTTGGGGGGCTTCTCCTGTTTCAGGTTTCGGCATAAATTGCAGCTGGATGGATTCGAATCAGCTTTGGAATCAGGGAATGCATCCATTTCCCACACTACCCTTAGATTTAGACCTGTTGGGTTAGGGTCTGGTTGGTCCGGGTTTTGAGGCTCGAATGATCCCGACCTGGCAGGTCGGCCAGCGTAGGACCCATTGGCTGATGGACGCCCAACTCGAACTTTGCCCTTGAAACGATGATGGCTTTTTGGGGGTGTCACGTTTTCCATGGCGACTCTTACTGAAGTTTGTAAATGGTTCGAAGCTTTCGTGGGCAAGTGTTTCGCGTTTTTCCGGATCCTTGGTGTCCCAAGTTCGTGGACTTCATGTTTGTTGCACAGACAATAAAACATCTACACGAAAGGCTGCAAAATTCTGGGTGTCCATGCCCAGAATGCCGAGCTTGCAACATTCGAAGGTCAGCAGTCGGCTGCGATGGAGAGCACGTGCCTTGGTTGCAGCTTTTCGCAGGCGAATTTTGCGCTTTCCGCATTGTTTCCGCGGGGTAAAATCGGACGATGCAAGATGCGTGATCTTGGCAAGTATCCTTAGGTGACCTTGCTCCTGTGCGTGTCCCATCGAAATGTTGGAGGCCACTTGCAAAACAAACCAGCTGAACAATTTGTTTGAAGCCTCGTGAATGGCGCCCTCGTGAGTGGTAAAACCCTGCTTGGGAGGAAGCCAAGCAGCCAGCCATTCGCTGCGTATTTGCGCCTTCGGGTCACACAACATCCGCTTTGGAGAGGCCCCGCTACGGCGTCAGAAGGTGTTATGTGCCTTCGCCTCCTCCACAAGCTGCGCGCTGGCCGTTGGTTTTTTGATTTGGGGCTGGGGCTGGTGTTCTTGGCCGAAGGGGTTTGTTAGGTTATCGTCAAGATAGCCCTGTAGACTCCCAGCCAGGAAGCAGATGTTTGCGGTGACGCGCTCGATTGGCCAGAGGGCGACGAAGAAAAGCGCCTGCGCTGCATTGGCTGCGTTTCCGACTTCGAGGTGCACTCATTCTCGAAACCTGACCTGGTAAAACGAGCTTACACCCCAAAATAAAACTTGCTGATTTGGGGGTTTCTTATTTCAGGTTAGATGTGTCGCCTGCTCAAAACACGGGAGGCTCGTGGCAATCTGAAGTGCGAGGCATGAACGGCTTGTATTATTTTAGCGTTGTTCGTCTGCGAATCTGCAGTTGTATCGCACCAAAGTTGGTCACCCCATTTCCACTTGATTGAGGTGATCTGTTTCGAGTTTGTTCTGAAGGAAAGCAGCATGACTGGCAAATGATGCATTCTAAGAGACAACCTTGTTTACCAGAACGGTGCTTACAAGAAGCTCATTTAACACGGTGGGCGTCGCGCACGGGCAGGGGTCTGTCGATACCCATTTCTATTCATCTATTCCACTGTTTGGTCGGACCTTGACTATTGAGGTGTGCCGGTTTTTGGAGTTTGTTTCCCGCCGTCAGGTTATTTCCAGGCTACTTGCACCATTTGTTGGGTCATTTTTGGGCACCATTGTTGTGGGTCCTGTGAAGGTGCCACTTGTTTCTTCATGTGTGGCGCCCATGTTTCTTGGTTGCTTCCAGCCATTCCCTTAGCTTTTTAGTTTTTTGTTATTTTTTTTAGTGGAGGGTGTTTCAACCACTAAAAATTACACTTTTCGCAGGGGATCTAAGAACAGCCCGCGTTCTTTTTTTTAATATTAAGGCGCCACGTTTTCAGCAACCTTGGGCCGAGGTTTGGCGGTGAGGGCCACGGCGACGGCGAGTGCGGAGGTGGCGAGGCTCCGGCAGAAACCTCTTGGCTTCTCGTTTTGAGCAGGGCTCCTTAGATGCATTTTGCCCATTTGAAACATGGCTTTTTGCACCAAACTACAGGGACACCACCATTTACAAGGCAATGTTCAGGTGTATAATGTAAGGATGCTTGTTGAGGGAACACCTGCCCCCCCCCATCCCGGAAGAGTTCTCAGAACTTGACAGAAAGGTTCGGAGAACCTCCCTAAGGTTTTCTCCTTGGTGTGTTATGCTTCTACCTACAAGAGGTTGTTTGTTGTCTTTGTTCCTTTCTCCGAGAGCGAAAGCTATGTGGTGAATCCGCCAGTCCTAGATGTTGGGCTCTGGATCTCCTTGGGCACATTGTTTTTCTTACTCTCCTGGGGGGTGCCCCTCCCAAAACAAGCCAAGCAAGGCCCAAGATGCAACGGTTGTGGGGGGAGGCTTTGGGCGGGGTTGGGTCCCTGTCTGTTGCAGGTACAGTTCCGTTTCACGCGCCAGAAATATCTTTTACTTGCCTGAAGCGAATCAGCCAAATTTTCACTTTTTGGTTTTGCTGCCATTTGTTTTGAAGAAGACCCAAAAGGCGGTTCCGTAGATAGCAGGTTCCGGGTCTTTTGGCCAAGGGAGAAAACCCGTGCCCTTTTTCTTGTGGCCATTGGGCAAGTAATAGCTGTGGCACATGGAAAGTGGGAGGGTATGTTGCCATTGAGCAACTCTTCTCTTCAAGAGTGCTTTATACATCAGTTGGGTACGGGTCCAAATAAATCGACTAGGGGACCGCAGGGTTTAGTCCCTGGTTCCATTTACCAGGGCTCCATTTAGGGTACCTTTTTTTTTGACCCACAGCCAGCTGGGCCAATGCAAGAATTGAGTTCTCCATGGGGGTGACCGGCAAAAGGGAGGCAAGCAGCCCTGTCGCCCACCGAGATGTCTAAAACCCAAGCTCCCGGCTCCACTTGTCGCCTCTGGGAGGCATCCTGTGCGACATTCGAAGGCACCCTGGCAAGCAAGAGGAGCTGGCGTCCACTCGTGCCCTTCTGAAATCCAGACCGCACATTCCGGAGAAGGTGACCAACGACGTTTGTGGTTTTTGTTTTGCCATTTGGGTTTGTCTCCAAAAAACGGGCTCTTTGGTGGTTGTCTTTTGTCGGCCAAAGGAAACACACCAATAAAAAGGCGGCCTCAACAATGGCGCCCGCCTGGTGTCCGCAGCCCGCATTTTGGTCGGTGGCCCTTTGAACACCGTCCCAAACAGCGGTCCAAGCCTCATTTTGACGCCCACTATTCAAGGCAAGCCCAAGGCTCGGGTGTTTTTTTTGTGCCGTTTTGGAACCCAACAAGCGATGGATACATAGGCTCGTCTGTCTTAGAGAACCCGCAAAATAGAGAGGGGCGATTCTGCCAGTTCCGTCCGCCTGCACCCTACGTGGCACACTGTCGAATTGGAAGCGCGGCCGTGTTTTGGCAAGGCACCATGTTTGCCCCCAAGTATCGACTCAGCAGAAATGGCACCGGAAGGGAACTGACTTGACCTCGAGTTGGGCATCTGGGCGTTGCAAAGGTTTTCTTTCGGCATTCACTTGAAACTGGATTGGTCTTAGCGACCCAAGAACCTGTCAGAGTTTCCACGGGTTCAATTCAATGTTTCTAGAGAAGCCACCAGGAACCCCCAACCAGTTGAAAGGGTTCGATTCCCATCTTCAAATTTCAAGTCCAACGAATATTAGATTCAGTAGATGTGTGTGTGTGTGTGCGTGTGTCGTTTAGTACATTCTAGACTAGTAAACATGGTTGGATTCGTGTGTTTTTATCCAGGCAAACTAGAAAACACCTCATCAAGGGGTTGCTGTGTTGCGACCTCACTCAATGATGCAATGATGCCCGGTTCTTTGTTTGGGATCTCTTAATGTGGGTTTGCGAATCACGTGATTTCCTCCAGACTCTTTGCAAGATTATATATAGTATAATATACATTGATGTGGTCTGGGGGGGAGGGGGGTCGGATTATTTGGGCTCCCACCCCTCTCCCTTACCTCTCCCACAGGCCTCATGATACATTAATATGAATATGTTTATTGCATGGCAAGCACGGGTACTCTACTACTCTCAAGACTCAATGGCAAGTCTGTCCGTTGGCACATTGGACTCTGATGACAAGACTACCACATGATCTGTTTTGGGTAGTCTGTTTCTCATGGGCTTCCGCCAATCTTCTCAAGCATTCATATCTCTAAGCGTTATGTTTTGTTCCCCAAACCCCAAACTAGATCCTTTGTGGCCTAATTTTAGAGAGCCCTCAACAGGGGTCGCCGTAGTGTGTTCGGATGTGCTGAGAGGTGTGCGCAAACCAAACAACTAAACGCCCTCGTTTGCGCGATCCCCCGTTGAAAGGCCTGCCAAGTACTTTGCGGCTGAAACCTCCACTGCCTTGAAAGCGCAAGACGCCCACAAGGCAGCGGCACGCGGCCATCCGATGACCTGGCAGAGGTGGCTGCGGCTCTGGCGCGGCACCTCATGGAGCAGGAGGGAGTATCTCGAAGAGCAGATTGCTGCGGGGCGACTCAAAAAACAAGGAAGGGGTATTTTTTGTAGGATGTGTTTTTCTCCGTTTTTTTCATCTTGCTTTTTCCTTTCTTTTCTTTCCTCCTTTTTATTTTGTTCCGCTTTTGGCTTCCTGGCTTCTTGGCTTTAAGCAACCAGAAAAGAGGGTCATCTTGCGGATGTACTTTGGAGGAAGAGGGAACCTATAAACAACCATAAAAGAGGGTCATTTTGCGGATGTCGCTTTCAATGGGGTGTGGGGTTGGACAAAATCGGGTTTTCTGTTGAATCTTTGGCTGGCAGGAATTCTCGGACGACGTCGCGCCGGATTTTCCGGGCGGTCGGCCGCCGGGCTCGTCCCTCGGCAGAGTGTGCATTCGATTTCAGAGAAGAGGGGGGTCGTCATGAACAGTGCATGGGTCAAACAGTCAAACATAAACCACCGAATAACTGCAGGTTTCAGTTCCTGTTTCCATTTCCCATGGTTCCAAAATGCATTTTTGATACTTAGTTCTTGACCCGCAATGGAAAGAGCTGCCAAAGAGACAGGTCGGGACTTTCGACTTTCCGCCTCAAGGAATCAGTTGGGGCGGTGGAAGGGGGTTTGGTGCCCTTTGACTTGGGTAGCTAAGAACATCCCACTCCAGTTTGTTGGCGCCGTGAAACCAAAATATGGGGAAAAACTTTGGTTGAGCTAACGAGATGACTGAAGCGCCTGAACGGAATAAGACGCAGAGCGCAAAACTCGGCTACCTCGAGTTTGCCAGTTGATTTGTGCTTATGAGAAATCAATAGGGCCGCCCTCGCCGGGGTCAGTTGGACCTATCGAGAGGTGTCGGGTGCTCGCTTCACGCCCGGAGGTCCGCTGCGTCCGATGGCGGCAGCCGGGCGGCGCAGGCGTTGGCGCAGCATGTGTTGGCAACGGAGTCGGAGGACTCGCGGCGCCGGGGACCGTTGCGGAGGATGGGAACCCCAGCGAATGAACTGGGCGTTTTGGTGTGTTGGTTTCTGGTTTCTGGTGAAAAGCCCCGACTTTGCGCCCGCACCTGAGCATCTGGCCAGCATGAGGGGGACAAAGACTTGGTTTGCGTGCTTGTAGTGGTAACCGACTTCAGTACCAAGTAGACACACGCCCCCAAAACGGGCTGTTCCTGAGTTTCCCTTTAAAGCAACGTAAAGGAGGTTTCCTCGGAAGACAGACAGACAGGCAGGCAGGCGGACTGACAGGCAGACAGACAGACAGAGAAAGACATAATTTTGGGCGGTTTGGTTCTTGAAATGGTTTTGGTTCGTAGCGGCTCCACCATCTCAATCGGTTCGGTTTGGTTTGTTTCTTAGCGCAATCTCCCCGAACCTACTTTTCAGTCAAAAAATCCCAACCAACAGGCGACCATTCCCGACTGCGGCGCGAACAACTACGACCGCCGGCGTGTTTAATGCCCAAAAAGCAGATTTGTTCATGCCAACGACGAAAAATCGTTTTGTTTGTTTTAGTCAACGCCCCAAAATGTTTGACCCCCGGAAGGTCCGAGCACAAAATGCCGCGTATTTTCCCCGGCACCAGGACCCCACGCAGACGGTGGCGCAAGCTTTGGCGCGGCATGCCGAGCAGGAGAAGGCCGACTTTCGGCCACGGAAAGCTCAACGATGATGGGCGTCCCTCCGAAAAAGGCGACTTTTCCTACCCCACTTCAAGGGTTTCCCCTTGTTCTCCTGGGGGTAGTGGATAGATCCTATCAGGCTTGCTTCGCGCCTTTAATGCATGCCCAAAACTCTAAGGGTAGAAAACTGGCACCGGGCCCCTTTGCATTCCTTCTCCAGTGGCCAAATGTCTCTGGGAAACCATGAAACCATACCCAGGCCGAATAAGGCCAAAGAATGGGTTTTTGGCTGCGGGTGGAGCATCCGCTTCCCGCCGAGTTCGCTGCTCCCGACTCGATGTGTAACTTCCGGCTCGCAAAGCGTCCCTCGTCGTGGGTGTGGCCACTACGAGGTCAGCACCGTGTTGGCTCTCGGCCGTCCACGTTTTCAATGTGTGCTGTCGTTGACTCGGTCAAGGGATCCTGGAGACGAATGAAACCATGTCAGGCCAAATGATAGCGTGCAGGTTCAAGGGATCCTGCACCACATGTGGTCATAGAGAGCGGGGCAAACGATGGCCGTAAGCCCAGCACGTTGATCATGGACATCATGGTTGATTTGGTTTTGAGCCTCCCCGCACTCCCATTCGAATTCTGGCGTGCCAACTGTATAAGGGTTGTCCTCCCGTTCTCTTTATTTCTGCCTTCGGCAATAAACCCGGAAAACCAAAAGGCTTCAGGACACCCCTGACAGGACGCGGGGCGGGTAGCAGAGGCCTTGGCGCAGCACCTGGCAGATGTGGCGAGGGAGGCTGGGCCCGTGTTGTGTGGCAGGAGCGGTGCCTTGTCTCGTTGCCGGCCACACTTCCGGTAACAAGGTGACTTCCATTTGTTTAATAATATTATTTTAGTTTATTTTCCCCTGTTGGTTTTAAAAGGAATCGATCACTACTGGAATCGATCACTACTGGATCTCTTCCAGGGGGCTTAAGCAAATGGAAGGTGAGGTCGGATGGCAAGCGACCGGCACACTTCCCACTTGAGCCCCAGGACTCTGTTCGGATGGCGGCGCAGGCTTTGGCTGAGCATGCGGAGAGGGAGAAGGACAGTCTTTCTTGCCTGGCTCGCGCTTTGTGCGTGTGCTAAACATGGGTGTGCCTTAGACCCCCCAAAATGGTTGGTTTCTTCATGGGGTTCCCTTTGATTCTAAAAACAAGGGGGGCCAAGAACAAGAAGCGCTAATCAAGAAATCGAGCCCCTAAAGATGAGTGGTTCGGGTTTCCCTTAAGGACAACACTGCCAAACTGGTCAAATGGGGCTCAAAGGGCTCAAATTCCCAGCTTGAAATAGTGGGGTTGCGTTCATCTGGTTTTTGCGTCCTTGGGCAGAAACCGTCCTGGAACGGGCTAACGTCAGGTCCCAAGGAATGTATACCTCGGGGGTTGTACCGCAAGCACAAGGACGCCCCACCCCTCCTTTTGGCCAACTTTCGGAGCCCTTTGGGGTACATCCTGAGGAATTCCCCAACAAGGCAGGAAACACATTGAAAGCCACCGCACGGTCACTTGCATCAAGCCCCGTCTGCAAACCTCGAGCCGCGTCAAGCTTTGGGAGAGCCAAATGTGCAACGGTCAAAACTCCCGTGGGTCAGGCGTCTGCTACTTTCATCTTAGGATTTCCTCTGCCGCACAAAGCCCTGAAACCGTTGGGGACCCAAAACGCTCAAAGTCAATATTGTCCGTTGCTCGTAAACTGGCTCGTGGTTGAGCCCTGGATACCACGAAGGATACTTGTCAAATCAACGCTTACGTTTCACCGGGAAGCCAAAGAGGCAGATGTCAAGGTCCACAAGCAACCGCAACGCTCAGACTCAGTGCCCTCCAACAAAAAGGCCGTCCATCAGCATGAGTCATGGAGTCATTTTTGCCCACGCCCTGAGAACGATCATCTGTGCAGGCCAGCGTTGCAATTGTGTGAGCCCACAGTGTATGGCAATTTGGCGCACTGCACTTCACGCGCGGGAGTACACCATAGCAATGTTGGCCGGGCAAGAGTCAGCAAAAGGAGTCGGGCAAAGCTGGGCTAGCCGAACATCCAATGGTGTGTCCTAAAATTTTGTGGCTGAAGCGGAGTCTGATCATCATGTTGGGGTACCTTTGAGTTGGGCCGTAGATTGGTCTCGAAATGGGGACCCCTTCTGCATGGCGAAAAGAAGCGGAGGCAAAGGGAAACCAAGAGAGGGGTCCCTTTGAGAAAAAAAAACACCATTTGCTCCCGATACCGGCGGATTTGCTGGAAAACGGCCGATCTGCTGGAACGCGTTTTGTTCTTGGGGTACGTTGCAGGCACCCTGCCTGAAGCAAATCAGGGGGTCGACCTCATACCCAACAGAGGGCCCCCAGCGGAACACGCGACGGGACCTGCCAGGACTCGGCGCAGGTGGCGGCGGCCCTCGCGCGGCACCTGGAGGCGGGCCTCTTCGGGCTATCTGAGGCCGTGGGGCCGAAGATTCGAGGGGAACTGCGCGGAAGGTGGGAAGGGTGGGTTTCACCCCCCCCCCGGAGCATGGGGAGAAAATCCCTGGGTTCAAGCTGCTTTTTTTTTTTTGCCCCCAAGGCATGTGAAGAAAAAACACCTTTTGGTAGAGCTTTTTTGGCTTTTTGAGGGCGAGGATCCGGTTTTTGTTTTCGCTCCACGCCATAGGATCTTTTCTGCAACAAGCTCCGCGCCCGGTCCAGGACTTCTACCCGGACGAGGTGTACTCCCCGCGGGGCCCGCGGCCACCCCCCGGCTCGCCGCGGCCGGAAGCGCTGGCCAGGCTGAGCTTCGACAGGAGGGCCCCAAATTGGGGCCAAAGAGGGGACAGGGAAAACCCCGAGCAAAAATCTCTCAGCATGTTGCTTTTTTCTGTTGCCTTCTTCTTTTTCTTCTTCTCTTTTTTGTTTTTTTCTCTCTTTTTTTCTGGTCTGAAACAGTTTGATCAGCTTGTGGGTTCCAATGATCGAGTGCCCCAAGGTTCCGAAGGACCCGAAGGACAAGGGCCCGAAGGGTCGCTTTCTCAAGTCGCGTCAGGCGAGAGGACGTGCAGGCCGCTGCGCAGGCTTTGGCCAGCCATGTGGAAGAGACGCCGGCAAGGACGAGCTGAGCCGAGCAGAGCCGAGCAATGAGATCGTTGAGGGTCATCCAATGGAATCCCCAAACAAAGGCCCCACAAAGACCCTAGTACTCAGATCTTGTTCGGCCTGCCGTTGACCAAACATGCCACTGTTAGACCCTTTGAATGGCTCCGACTGTTTGCAAACCGCGCCTTGCAAATGCAGGTCACAGACCACCAGTTTCTCCTTTCATAGGGTCCCGGTGTTCCTTTGAAATTGACCAATGGCTCCCAGCCATCCCCTTAGCTTTTTAGGGTTTTTTGGGTTTGGTGCTAGTTTCCATTTAGCCCACTAAGAGTTACTCACTTCTAGCAGGGGACCAGAAAACGGGCAGCCCAGCGCAAAAAAAAAAATGTATCTGAAGGCTTGGCGCGGCACCCAAGCACCCCATTCACTGTTCCACCAACGGTCACCGGAAATGTTTGTTTTGCCTTCCCACCATCCTAATATACAGGTAGGAGAACAGTGAGTAGAGATGACCCTGTGAGTAGTATATATATATATACATATATACACACACATAAATGCACACATGTACGTATGTATGATATGTATTCTCATGAATGCTTCTCTTCTTATCATCAGCAAATATCCTGTAAGCTGCCAAACCAACTCTGCACGGAGCAGATGGGGCCCAAAACACCTTTGGGCACCGCCGGACACCACTGATTTGGCTCGCACCCAGTTGCATGATTGCAGGAAACACCAGATGTCCCTTGCTATGTTACCCTTTGATTTCAGGGGAACAACCAGGCATGATTGCAGGAAACTTTCTATGTTACCCTTTGAAGTTTTCCCCAAGTTGCGTTTCAATTTGGACACCAAGCATCTGTTGTTCCACAGCCAGTTGAGCCATGCACCCAAGTACTAGTTGAGCCCATGCCACATGCGAGGTTCGGAAAGATAATTTCCAGCAGTTGGTCAACATGGGGACCAAAGTTTCAACCACTGGGGATTCCCGGGGACTTACGAACATTCCCACCAAAACCAAGGGGACTCACATGGGAACCAACCCTTTTTCCCGTGTTCATTCTAGGAGCAACTGGCTCAAATGAGCCGGTCTAGACACCCGGTCGCTCGGCCAAGCCGAGGTCGGGTGGTGTACATAGAGGCGGAAGCTGCGAGAGCCGACTCAAGCTGCGAGAGCCTACTGCGGATGGTTCGAACACCCACACGAACGGATTGGTGGACGTAGACCCCCCAGGTACATTTGATGTTCACCAAAGGGGTTCCCTCAGTTCGATGAGAAAGGTTTGTCTCGAACTAGGGCACCGCCCCAAGACAGGTGTTCCTGTGGTTCGGTTTTTCAAAGAGGGTTGCCTCAAAAGCAGACACACGCGTGATCCAGAGCCAGGGCGTCGTCGCAGCCTCATAGTGACCGTATGAGCGACGAGTGGCTCTTCGGTGTCTTCCATTTGGGGATCTCCTTTTGAGCTTACTTTTACATCTCAAGCTTCACCCAAATGCCCATTTCAGGCTTCACTAAATATGGAGAGTCAAACACGCGTTTTTTTGTTGCGAGCTGCGAGCTGAAGTAGTTAAACTAAAAGGCCTCTGAAGCAGGAAGCGAATTCTTGGGAGCTCGGCGGCTCCCGCCTGGCGCCGCTTTTCTCTGGGCGCATCGAAGCAGGTGCCCAAGAGATGAACAAAAACCGAGCGGCGGAGATGGGCATGGCAAAAAATCACCAGGGTTGGGGAAAATCCGTGGGGGCCAGAGAAAATCTGAAAGCCCTGATGCCCCTTTGAACGGAAAAAGAACCAGCCCGTTGAAGCCAGAAAGGTGTTAGCCCGCACGGCAAATGCGGGCTTTGGCTCACCCGGACCTGACGAAAAACCGCTTCCGGTCTCAGAACATGCCGCACAGGTTCCCCAGGGTAGGGGTTCAAGCGAACTCCCTCAGTCCCTTTGGGCTTCCGATGTGGAGCAAAATTTCACACGGTAACGAGCACGCAAGGTTCAGTTTGGTTTTCAGTCAAGTGGAAAGCGGCCATGTCAATATTAGTGAAGGTTTTGATGGGCTGACACAAACACTCTTTAGTTTGTTTTCCTAACTTGGAGTGGTGTAGAGCTCATGTTTCAGTGGAACGCTGACCCCTCTGCGTCTGAGGCCAAGCAATGCAGAGTCGCTAATTTAATCTGTACCAATATAGAAAAATGATGAGCGCGTTCCTTTGCCGCACAATTGAGGCGCCCTCGTATATCCCTTATATAACCCTTATATAACCCTTATATAACCCTTATATAACCCTTATATAACCCTTATATAACCCTTGTATAACCCCTTATATAACCCTCATAAAACCTTAAAATTCGCCTTTTGGCTTCTGGGGGTAGTGGTTTGGGAGTAGTCACTAGATTTGGTTTCCCTTTGCCAGGGAAGGTTTTTCTAGCGCGGGACCCCTCTACGACAGGTGGAGACCGTCCACCAGATCTGCCGTACCTTCCAAGAGGCGCTGTCGCGCTCGAGCGCTCGCGCGACGGGGGTGCGTGTGTGCGTCTGTGTGTGTTTCCGACAGCTCCCTGAGGGCGTGGACCATCTGAGTGGCAAGGTTCGGTCGTTTTTTGGGCCTCACTGAAGTGAGTTGGCTGTGGGTCAAATCCCAGGAAACCCCCGGATGTTCAAAATAGCTGGCAAATGGATGTTCATCCACCCCAAAAGGGAGCCATAGGTTATGCCCCATGGTCAGTTTCAGGGTAGCCGAACACACCTTGGCTTTGAAGGGAAACAAAGGGCCAACCACCAGTTTATGGGGGTGCGGGGTGCCGCTTTCAAAGATACCAATGATAAAGTAGTCATGGGGATAGGAAGACATTTTACTATCACAAGGAGAGGCCCATATTCCTGACCAAGTTTACCTCTTGGAGGCATATAATGTAGACACTACACAGCCACCACATGCATATGTGTATATATATATATATATATATGTATGCAAGGTTGTTCAATAAACATGAAGTGAACTAGGCCTGTTCAATAGCACAGTAGTCTTCCAAAAGGATTCTGTCAGCTTCTATGATTGTTGGAAAGAGGGTGTGCATGTATGTGCATATATAATATATAATGATATGTGGAGCATGTGAGATGGAACATGTAGCTGCAGCCACGTATACCACGCGAATTTGTCGCCGTCAAATGTTCATACATCTGGGGATGCAGTTCTAAGAGTATTCTCAAATCTTCTAGGACACGATTTGGATGATATTTTTGTGGATCCACCCCTGTAGGATAGCGACAAAAACTACTAAACAAGTATTGAAAAAGGAACACCTGGTAAAACAACATGGGGAATCCGTAGAAAACGCCTCCAATCCGCTTTCTGGACAACTAGTGAATCTGCTCAATCTGGGTGCCTTACGACTTAGTCAGCCCAAGTTGTTGTTGTTTTTGCCAGGTATGTGAGGCCGCTGGCACTTGGAAACGGGTTCCAACATGCTATGATACAAGGTTCAGCGAAGCAATCCAGAAGTCTAGAGGTCCATTTGTGTGGGACATGGGCGACTTCCTCAATGCCCAACAAAAAGGCAAGGGACTTCTTTTGGTTTCGCAGGTTGGTGGGTATCTGTTTTGGGGCCCGGGCTATCGATTTTAGGTGGCACTATTGTCGGCTATGTTGCCTGTCACATCAAACTATAGCTGGGGTGAATCGAGCCCACCGAAGGTTCCTCTGTATTTGCCTTGGGTTTGCATTTGCATGAAAAAACGTGTTGTTTTTAGGGAATCACAAGCATTGGGTTTTTATAAAAGGACCCAAGGTTTCCCATTTTTTCTGGTTTCCGACGTGTGCTGCTTGTTGCCAAGAGCTCGCCAGCAGGATGTCGAGCAGCGCATCACGGCCTGCCTGGCGGAGTGTGCTCGGGACTCGGCCAATCTGATGCCTCGGGTCCAGGGTCTTTGTGCCCGGCTCGGGGGACCAAAGGGCGCTCACGGGCGAAAACCCGAAAAAATCCCGAGCCTTTTGGACCTTTCGGTTGCCCCTGTTTGGAGGCCTAGTCATGGCGCCAAAAGGTGAACCGTTTATATTTCTGGGTCCTTTGGGCAACTGAATTCAATGAGCTCTCCATCGTGTCGTTGCGGCTAAAGTTTGCTGGAAGTGACGTAGAAGACTTCGGGGAATGAGCAGGCCCAAACTCCGAGGAATCCACCGAACAAACTCCCGACATCCTCCCGAATCCAAAGTTGAGAAGTTGATTGGATGATTCCTGCTTGATTTGAGAAGAATTCCATGACAGGCACTCTGCACTGGCTTTTCTGGGCCTGGGATTCAGCTTTGTTTGATCGTTGATACCTGACTCAACGCGATGTGGGCCATGGAGTCTAAATGGAGAATCCCCGAAGGGGCGAAACACGAGGAACAGCCTTTGGTGTAGTCCATGTCAGCAACTTCGAGGGTTGGGCGCACCTCTCCTTTGAATTGCGGGCCATGGGAAGTGTCACTTCTGTGACACCAGCTTATTATCCCCTTCACACAAAATTGATTGACAAGACCATTGTCCCAGTGTCAGAGAAGTAACTTTGGTTTTGAGACCATTGTCTCCTAGTGTCAGAGAAGCATTTTTTAGGCAGACCCTTTTGATGCGTGTTGATGGTGGCTCTCGCAAGAGATGTGGCGTTCATTTTCCGCGTAGCCGTTTTCTCGGCTCCGTCCATTAATGCAGATCTAGTTGGCGCCCTCTGCGCCGAACGCCTCTTGCCGGGAGAGGGGGAGCGGGAGGGAGGAGGGATGGGCAATCTCCTGGTTTAGCTTGTGTTTTTTCCCATGTCAGGGACCATCCTCCACTTTTGGTTAGGTTTTTTGGGGTGCCCCCGCTTTTGGCGGAAACCAACAATGTTTGTCGCGGGGTAGACATGAAAGTGGCACGGTTGGTTCCACAAATAACGGTCCGAAAAAGCAACATGATTACGCGGGGAGGGGGGTTGCCTTCACCATATTTGCGGAATCCGTTCCAGCCCTTCCCATACCGATATATGAATGACCCATTTGCTTTCCCACACTTATTCCGGCGGTCCAAAGCAAGTCGACCCCGCATTTCTAGCCCTTTGGCAAGGCCCCGCGGAACTAGTTTTTAGTTAAACTCCCTTGAAGGTGCGTGTTTCGTTTTGGCAGGTAATTGTGGTTTGACTTCAGGCCATGTGCGACCATTCCCAGGTAAGGGAATTAAGCGCGCTCGCATGGATAAAAAAGCAGCACCCTGGGAGTGACAAGCCTGGTTTCCGCGACCCACTTTCCAACACCGCGCCTTTTGCAAAGATAAATTCGGTTGAGCTCAAGCTGGGGAAACAACGTTAGCACCTGAGACACCTTGGCCCTTGGCCATTTTTTTGAAGAGGGCTCAAGATGCGCTGAGGGTTGAATATTGACTGCGAAGATGCCATAGGAAGGCCAGAGCTCATTAAGGCCGAGACATTCGCATTCCCCATCCCACTCCAGACAAGTCTTCAGAACCATTCCAAAAAAGTTATCTCCTGAGACGCTTCCAAGAAAAAAAACTTGCCTGGGGGGGTGAGGGCCCTTGGGGCTTTCTCCTCACTTGGTCGAGGAGTTTTTGGGGTTCGGAGCAGCTCCCGGGCAGCCCAGGTCACAGAAGGACCCAAGTTTTATCTCATATTGCCATGGGTTGCACAAGCTGTGGCTCCATTTTGGGGTGGATGAACATCCATTTGCCACCTATTTTGATGCTCAGGGGTACAGGGTTTTGACCCACAGCCGTATCCCGTTTGGGAACTGTCCGCTGGGAGAAGATTGGTGGATTGGTTGATTCTTTTGGACGAGGTTTGCTGCGGACATGCGAGGAATTCTGGGCTCCGAGGCACCAACTGATACCAAGGAAGCGGACATGTACATCAAAAAACGTTGAACCAGACAACAAACCGCGCCTGCTTGAGTGTTCTACTCAGCTCGAGTGTTTGCTTGCTTGCTTGCTTGCTTGCTTGCTTGCTTGTTTGTTTGCTTGCTTGCTTGCTTGCTTGCTTGCTTGCTTGCTTGCTTGCTTGTTGCGTTCGTTGGTTCGCTGGTTTGTTCGTGCGTGTGGTTTTTGTCATGTGCGCTTGCGGGGTGCCTCCGCAACTTGGGACCCTATCCAGCCGAAAGCAGAGCAACCACCGGCCTCAGCTCAATCCTGTCTGGAGGGAACTGGTACCCGCCTCATTCGACCCGTGCCTTGAGGCAACGAAGTCTTTGGGTTTTTGGCAACTCGACCTGCAGTATGCCGAGCTCAGGCTGGCGAAGTGTTGCAAAAAAAAGGCAGAGATGCGGTAGCCGAAATTCCCCTACTAGTAACCCTAAAAACCCTACAAACCCTAAACCCTAAGCTCTGGTGTGAGATGAGGAAATCCTTGAATTTACTCTGGTGTGGAATGAGGTAACTGGTGTAGAATGAGGGAATTCTTCTGGTGTGAAATGAGTGCTTTGCCCTGCAACAAAGGTCATGGATTGTTTTGGGGTTCGGTGGGGCTCTATATAGCCACGAGAATCTTGGGGATTTTTTCCCATCGTTGTTTATTCAAACGACTGGCGTTTTCCTTGCGTGTTTGGGTTTTGAGTCGGTGCTTGTTTTTTTGTGTTAAGCAGCAGATGTTTCCCCAGCGTTCTGGCAGGCTTGTGGGAAAGGAATGGGAAAGGTGCCCTAGCATAAGCTGATGACTCAGGATCATGAGCTTTTTCCTTCGACCGTGGACTCTTCGGCCCTTTCCCGGGTTTCCACTTGAAAATGCGACGAATATGGGACGGCTGGGTCTTTCTTCGGCCCCTCCGACTGTTTGGACACAATTCTTTCTTCCATCGAACTTGCAAACGGCTAGCTAGACGTTTTGCTCGAGGGGGACCAACCCAGATTGAGACAGGGAAGCTCATTTTGTAGGCACACAAGACCCGTTTCTTTGCCCCCCGTCCCGTTTTGGTGGCAAGTCTTTCCGAAGCCATGCGATCCATTTCTAGCGTGCCTGTGGATGACATGGTGGGGGTCAAGCCACTGGCTCGCTGATTCCCAAGTTTCGGGGTCGAACTGGTCTTCGCCTTTTTGGCCGCAAGGAAAGTTGGATAGGAGTAGATCCTCCCACCCATTCATTTGTTAGGCCCTGAGACCTGGAAACAACGTTTCAACCGCAAAGCGGCAAAGTTGCCGGGAGGGATTGGATGTTTTCTTGAGTGTGCTTTGGATGGAAAGTATTGGTTGGGAATGCTTTGGAAGATCTACCTTCGCACCAACCGTGGTTCTGAGCATGCTCCTCTTCGAAAGGGAGCCTACTGTGTGAGCGCGCTCTTTTTGAGGCCATCTGGCGACAACTTTACGTATCAAAAGCAAATTGGATGTCCTTCCCGCCAGGATCCAGACCAGTTTTCGTGTTTCCGTCATTGCAACCCCCCGCAACGGCTCTTTTAACTTCGGACCCAACAGGTCAAGCAAGTGTCAGAGAAACTGGTTGGGAGGTTGGAAGAAGGATCGCGCCGAGATATTAATCTTCGAGCGAACAACTGTGAGATGTGAAATCAAGGGGTTCGCCTCACCAGATAGTCGGGTTTCTTTGCCTTTCCAGCCCCCTTGTCTGAAGGCTAAGAACCTCTGCACAGATGAGTTATGCCTTTTATCCTTTTGTGAAAGCGCATTCGATGAGGTGCAGACTCTCCCTCTATTTTCAGGAGTCCCAAAACAACATCCAACCCTTGGAGGCAAAGAACTGGTTGCCCAACCAACCCCCCCCCCACCGCTCCTCCAAGCCTGACATGGTTTGTCACTTGGGTTTCTGGGGAGGGCCCACGGAGATGGCCTTGAAAGCACACGCCGGGTGATCAGCTTCGTGTCTTCTTGTCCAATCCTTGGAATTGTACCCTTCGCCCGAGACAAATACGCAGCCAATCCTTTGAATCAACTCACAAGGCGACCTTTTGTCATGGAGACCGTGGGCATAGATCGGGTTGAGAATTCGTGGGGTTACTCCCCAGTAACAATGGCTGGAGGTCTCAAAAGCATCCTGAAGCGACCGGGCTCCCAGGAAGATGTTCCGTGCTCTTGTGCTGGCCGTGGCCGCTTCCGGCACGAAGCTCTCGGCCCAGGCGGCGCAAGGTCGGTAAGAAAAAAGGGGGGCGCCATGAACCGTGGTTCCTAAACTCTATGGGAGCGTGGTGGTGGTGGTGGTGGTGGTGGTGGTGGTGGTGGTGGTGGTTGCGGAAAATTGGGCTTAGGTTGCCACTTTCTCTGATGTGGATGGACATCCACTATATGGATAAACTTCCATTGGGATAAACCGCCTGCCAACTGGTTTCTCACAACTATGAAAAGGGGGGGCTCCAGTTGGAAACGTTGGATTCGCTTTCTGCCGGGCCTTTTGTGTTGAACAATGCAACATCTTGCGACAGATGGGACTTCCCTTGCTTTGTTTCGTTTCTCTCTGAACGGGTCCGTCTCTTAATGGGAGCTGCTCCAAAATGGGTGGTGGTGGTGCTCCTAAGTTTCCCTTTAAGCCGACTCTGAAGGGTACTCTCAACAAATGGTTTGTTGTTTTGAATGTCCCAGTTGACCGGTGGCAGGTTGTAAGAGCTGGATTCTTTCCACTTACCTGCAGCAAGCAAGAGCGAGTCGTTGTTTTTGTTGATCTCATGGGAAATACTGAGCAGAAGGCCTCGTTTCGCAACTATTTCAGGTTGTCCTTGCTTTGAGACATCCCCCATCAAATGAGGGAGTGGGAACGTGACAACCGGGCCTCCGTTGGACTTCGGTTCTTCAGCAAGATGGGCAATGATGGGTTTGTATTTGTTGAGGCAGCAAACAGTTTTCTCTTGGTGTTCTCCCCCGAAGGGGAATAATTAAGCACCATCCGTGACCTTCCAGAAACCCTTCCAAGAACCCGTCTTTT